GGGGGAGGGTGCCACACAATGCAACTTGGTCTGTGGGAAACATCATATTGATATTGCTATAGTATCAAAATCTGTCTAGTTATTATTATTTGTTAGAATCTAGTGTGACCTGTAAGCGCGTCAGGAGAACACATTTTGAAGTACAATATATTGTTGATGAAAATATAGAATAGGGCTGAATGATTTTAAGAAAAAATTGAATTGCGATTTTTTTTTCTGGCAGATATTTCGATTTCATCCATGATTTTTTTTCCAAGTTAAGTTTCTGTGCACATGAACGTTTGCAAACATCACAGAAACTTACATCATACCAGAGTCCTGCACCAGGTCGGGTATCCGCGGGTGCCCGGCGTGACTACACTGCTGTCAAAAATCTGTCATCACTTCACAGGGATTATTTATTGAGCAGAAGAAACATGGATCGAGATGCCGCACTTTAGCGCCGCATATAGACTGATCCCAGGACTGATCCCAGGACTGAATCAGTAGGACTAATCCAGGACTGAACGAAAACTGAATCAGGACTGTTCCCAGGACTGAATCAGGAATACACCAGGATTACACTAGGACTAAACCAGATCTGAACCAAAACTGAACCAAGACTGAACCAGGACTAAACCAGGACTGATCCCAGGACTGATCCCAGTACTGATCCCAGGACTACACCAGGACTACACCAGATCTAAATCAGGTCTTCGATTAATCATTAACATTTTTAGATTAAAATTATCATCATTTTTATTACTATTACTAATCTGCATAAACAAACTCAAATTCACAACATATAAACCATAAACACTATCAGCCTGTTTGACATTATAATGTTTTTAATGGAACTTTGCACTTTTGTTTACGTTTTACAGAAACGAAATTTAAAAACACATGGCTCATTTGCATAAAGTATAAACACTGCTCCTTGTGCTGGTGCGGTCAGCTTTTGTCAGACTCAGTGGAATATGTGTGTTCTTTCTGTGACGGAGGGATGTTGATGCATACATTTGTGAAATAGTTGACAAAACAAAACCTGGGTCAGTTAGGAACACTGCAAAAAACGTGGCTTTGACGCTCTCAAAATCTTGTCTGAAATCGTGATTTTTGGTCCAAAATGATAGATCATTCAACCCTAATATAGAAATTACATGATAATACTGAATCTAATCTATGCCACTGAGAAAATTACCCTTGGGCATGATCATCGCCAAAAAACAATATGGTTGAAGTAATTATCGTGACAGACCTGTCTCTTGATTACCATGAACGTACCCCCCCACACACCCCGAAACATGACCACTGTGAACATGTTTTATGGACTGAGCCAAGATCTCATCACATGCTAAAGATTAAGTCCTGGCTTAACTGGAGACTGGGAGGGAAAAAAAAGTATATTTAGAATTTTCTTCAAGTTTTAATCAAGTGGATTTCAGTCAATGATCAGCTGGGCTCTTCTAATGGAATCTCAAAGCATGTGATTTGGCTCAGGCTTTAGGAGAAGAAATTTGACTTTTTCATGTCATATGGCAACGATTAACAGTCTGTGTCGTTCATGTTCCAGAAATAAATGTTGAAGTATTTTTTTATTATTTGTTTTTTGACAAAACTGAATCAAATTTGAGGGAAAAAAAACTGTGGATAACTTTTTTTGTCAAATCATATATCCTAAAAGGTGTATTGTGTAGCTTTTCTGGTGGAATACTTTTCTCCATGGAGATGTTATTACTTTGTCTAGAATTTTCTATCTTCATGGAGACCAAATCAGACCAAGTTACAGGTCAGATCTGTGGAAAGGCGACCCCTCTCACAGTCAGAATACCTGTTTTTCTAGGAATTTTTGAGCTATAAAACCACTTGTAATTGAATAAATGTAATATAGATCTGTTTAATGTCATACTGTGGAACATTCCACGCAGAGCAATGACATTTCCATAGAAACAGGATGATGATGGACCCCCAACCAAAAAGTTACATAGTGGACCTTTTTAATATGACCTAACCTTTATGACCTGTACTGAAATATAGAACTCTAAATTACTACTACTAACTGTACTACTTCTACTTCATTTAGATGTGTTTGCTCCTGACATAACACTTTTGACTTAAAAAACTCCTCACAGTCACTCCTCTGTTGTGTTTTTGACATGCTCAGCACTTGGATTTCTTCTGCAATCTTTTACTTCCTACTTTTCGCTGAGTCGAGTTTCCTGTCCACCGAGAAAGTGCAACTATGGACCACCACAAAACTGATCGTAAAATACTTTGAACAATTGAACGGGTATTTTCTCTTTGTATCCAAGGGTAGGTTTCTGTAATAATTTTGTAATTTTAATGCATCATTGTCATAAGTTTAGTGGCTTGTTAAATGGTGTCATATTATGGAAACTATTTTGAGATTTTAACTGGGTTTTAATGTTGTTCCTTCAAGTATAACTGGATCTGTGTCAGAATTTATGCTTGGTGCACCTTTTATAATAATACAAAAAGTATAACTATGTAACCATTTTGGTGGATGAGTCAGCTGCCTTCTTGTCTCCATGGAGATGTTGATCCTTTGCCTGGAAGGTTCCACAGTATGGCAGTTAGCTGTCTAGGAGGGGTGTGCAAAAATATCGAAGTTGTATCGTTTAATGTGATGATACAGTATCGATATCCTGGGCTGCTGTATCGATATACCGCCAAGAGTATTTTTTAGTATATTTTACTAAATTATTTTGTTACAGCGCTACAGTTTTGTTGCCTTTTTAGAGGAAGGAAACTCATTTATGTGACACATTTGACATTTTTACTGTTTTGATGATTAAAATGTTTGTGTTTTATATGAACTGTGTACAAGAAGTGGTTTAACAAAGACTTCTAATATCACAGCCATGATTTAGCCTTTTTTTTATTGAATCGAATCGATTTGAAATATATCGAAAGTGCACTGTATCGAGACATGTATTGTATCGTGGCCTTATGTATTGAGGTATGTATTGTATCCGCAACTTCTTAATGATACCCAGCCCTACTGTCTAGAGTTTGTTTCTGTTCAGTTGTAGGTGTTTTTATTGCTAAATATTAGTGATGCAATGATCTATTTTTTTTTTTCAGTTTCGATACCGATGCCAATACTTTGCCCTGGACTCAGTTGATACTTAAAGCCAAAGACTGATGACATATTTTTTTTCCTTTAAACACAAACAGCGTATGAAAATTGTAGATTTTTACTGTGAGTGGGGTCACCTCTTCACAGATCAGACCTGTAACTTGGCTCAATGGTATCGTCTCACCTCTTTGTTTCCATGGAGATGCATATGCCAGTTTAATGCCATACTGGCAGACACAGGCAAAGCCATAACATCTCCTCTGAGGCAATCATGTGGCAGATCCTCCACCAGAAGTGGAGTTACATAGTGCAGCTTTAAGTTTGAAAACATGAATGCCAAGGTCTCGGAAGGTCTATAAAAGAATATTGTCTCTGCATCTGAAAAGTTGAACGTGCTTTTGTGCCTCTTCCTTTAACAGATACAGTAACCAGCCTGTGAGCATTATTGTACAAACATGGACTGAACAAACTGAATGCTGCTTCTTTTCTCAATTGTAACTTTATCTGGAATTTCATGACCTCCCTAATTTCTGTTTCTCGTAAAGTTTGTGAATATATTACTGTGGGGCATTCAAGGATACAGGTTTTTGTTACATGTTTACAGCTAAAACTCAAAGCCACTGTTTGTCATATCAGCCCTGTGTATTGTCAACAGTGAAGTTTGTGCAGCAACAGGATCTTAGATAGACGCTGATCACTGGGAACAGAGAAATGAAAAGTGGGCGGTACTAGGATGAGATTTAAGTTTCAAGTTACTTTAAGCCATAGCTGCCCCGGGGCAAACAGTTGTAGTTTTGTTTCCAGTGAATATCTGCAACGTAACTGGTAATAATGATTAAAAGGCAAGTTAAGACATAAAGATGGTTAACTGGCAGAATGGAAAAAGTTTGAAGTAAATATATATGACTTTGACTTGGACAATGTTAGAAATTACTTACAGTTACACTTACACAAAACTGACACTTGTGAGCTTTGAGCCACGTTATAATGTCACAAACATACCTGGAGTTGTGTTTTGTTTTGTTCACACTTTTGAGTAACCATTTATATAACTTTCGCCTTAATCTCCAAAGCTCCAAAAGCTCTGTAGTGGTAGTTTTCAAGTTAACAGCTATGTTTTACCTTTAGTTCAGCAGAGATTGACATTTCCAGGGCTGAAATTATCCAGATGATTCTAGTGAAGCAGGATGGAGTTTAAAAACACAGCAGACACTTCCTGTATTATCATATCACATCATCACGGTGGAAGTGTTTTCTGCTTGAGAGAAAAACATTATTGCATAGATCAGAAAATATGGCCCATTTAAAATAGGGGTGTAATGATATCCAAGTCTCATGATACGATATTGTCTCGATATGAACCTCAAGGTACGGCATATATTGCGATATCGTGGGAAAGCTCACGATTAGGGATATAACAATATCCAAATCTCTCAGTAGGATATTTTCACAATATACATGTCACGTTATGTTATTTATTGCAATATTTAACAAAACTGTTAATACGCATTTTTTTTCCTCTTAAAATGCCTTGACAAGACTTAATCCAAAGAACTAAGACTTAAAAGTGCTTAGAATTGTTATTTCTTCTTGTAGTCTGCACTGAAATGAGCAAAGGATCATGGTCTATGTAGTTCCCTCTGTCTTTTTTTTAGTTATTGCTGCACCATAACTTTTAATTTAAGCAAAGAGACTTGTAATTCGATATATTGTGATGGACCATGATATTATTGTGAAAACTTTGACGATACGATATCATGATATTTCGGTTATTGTGACATCCCTAATTTTAAAAAATCTGAATAATATCAGAACAGTTTGTCTGATAGAAGATCAAAACTGCTCAAAATGTATTTATTTTGGATATAATGAATGTATTTTCTGGTACAGCGTCTTAAACATGTTTTCTTTTGTGTTGCAGTTCCCATCGGTGAGGTCTCTTCCATCGGCTCTTCCATCTGCCTGACCTGAGCCTGCCCCCCTCTGCCCAGTCCACCCTCTGCACTTAAACACCTACAAAACTGAACGTAAACTCCGCAGACTCTTCCTCCTCACCTCCTCTTCATCACCTCTTCCTCTAACCCAGCGCTATGGCAGGGCGAGGGGGAACCACACGGACCAACGGCGCCGCTCCGGGCAACAAAATTTGCCAGTTTAAGTTGGTTCTTCTGGGGGAGTCGGCCGTGGGCAAGTCCAGTCTGGTGCTGCGCTTCGTCAAAGGGCAGTTCCACGAGTTTCAGGAGAGCACCATCGGAGGTGAGGAGAGGGCACTGGCATGGGGTAGTGCAGTTACCATGGCGACGCAATGCACACATTAGCAAACACAGCAAGATATGTTTTTAGATCAGGGATGGGCAAACTACGGCCAACCAGTTCAATAAATAGTAAATACCGTGGGACTTGAAAGACAGATATTTTGTTGTGAGGCAGGATATATTTTCTACATATCCATGTTATTTTTTTCTCTTATGAGGTGGATTACCAAAAAACTCCATCCATCCGCTCCTGGTCCAGCCCTTCTATCAAATTTTAGAACCCTTTGTGACCCACGAGTCAAAAAGTTTGCCCACCCCTGTTTTAGATGGTCAGAAAAAGTAAGAAAAACTATAAAATTGATTAAATTGAAAAGCCTGTGATCAATACAGGTAAATACATAAAATAAATAAGTGAAAATAAATAAATACATTGAGTTTGGGTCCTTCACCTGCTTGTTTCTATGGATATGTTATTGCTCTGCCTGGATGTTCCACAGTGTGACATTAACCACTTACTTTACATTTATTCAATTACAGGTGGTTTTATGGCTCAAAATTACCGACAAAACAGGCATTCTGACTGTGAGCGGGGGCGCCTCTCCACAGATCTGACCTGTAACTTGGTCTGGTTTGGTCTCCGTGATGATAGAAAGGTTTAATGCCATACTGTGAAACATTCCAGCAATAACATCTCCATGGAGACAAGCATTTGATAGGCCCTCCACCAGAAAAGTTACACAACGCACCAAAACAAAACAAAAAAACACTTGAGACTTCCTTATGGTCAAATCAGAGAGGGATCTGAGCTTTGTTTTTACAACATTTCAGACAGAGAAGTGTCTCCAGAAGAATGTTGATAATGTCACTTGAAACTTATTAAAAGGTTCTATCATGTTTCAAAACGGCAAATTTATTTAATACATTTTGAAGTATAGTGTAGTGAATGTAGTACATGAGTTTCAGTCGTAACATTTACTGTTAGTGGTGCTGCTTTGGACGGTTCAAAAGAAACAGCTTTTTCTTTTGAATAATTTGAGGCTCTGGCAACTGTCCTAATTTTTCTCCTCTTGAAATCCATGGATACGAGTTCAGTAAGCTGCATTTATCTCCAAGAGGCAATTCAGTTTATGGTCATAGCCAGCAGTATTAAACAGTCCACCCACAAGTGTTCACACAGGGCAGCCGCATGTGCAAAAGGAGGTTCATTAGGATTTATCATAACTGGAAATAAGGCCCAAAGTGTACAGTTACATTACCTGATGATAGACTGAGAGTTAGTCCTTATAATCTAAAAATTGTCTTAATAATGGCTTGTGTTTTATATAAAATAGATCCATATTTAGGGTTGGGCTTGCCTGGAAATACACACGTCTCCAATACTTTATAAAAATTTGAGTCTGAGTTCAGATGCATGTGATTGACAGGTGGACTAGCCAATCAGGGACTTGCATGATCCATCCATATCAGAGAACTTGGAGGAAAAAAAGTCTCACATTAGTCCATTGAGCTCCTTCGTTTCACATGCGTCATTGAGGGCGTGGGGACCAGACTGATATCTCTCTGTATTTTTATAGAGATCAATATATCAGTCTGGATTTGCCAGGCAAGGGCTGGGTGATATGGGAAAAAATGAATCATGATTTTTCGACAAATTTTTATTTTCCGTAGTCTTTTCCAAAATATGTAACACAAAAATAATACAAATTTTTTCCTCAAGTTTTCTGTCTGCTCCAAACCACATGCGTTTACTGACAGAGGATTGACTGTGGACTTTTTCAAAAACCCATATTATTTAATATTAGACATGACTGAATCACAAGCTCTCCATCTTTTGATTAATTGCCAACTGTAGTCCTGTCATGATAACAAATTTTGAGGTACTATATATTGCTCAAGTAAATATAGATGATAAAAGATAATACAGAAATTACTTTATACCACTGACACAATAAGTCTACAGCAGGATTATTCCCCTAAACCAGGGGTGCCCAATGTTTTTTCATCAAGGGCCACATATTTAAACACAGATGAAGCAGAGGGCTGATCGAGGGCTGTAGACTGGCGCTCATTACAGTGAATAATTGAACTATGTGCATGTTTTACACGTTAGAATGAGCCATCAGTCTTTATTCATGCTAAGATCCTTAAAAGCACACATTAAATATTCAATATTAGCTTTCTCAAGGTAGATAAAAAAAAAAAACTGGCAGTAAAAAGTTAATATTTAATTGATGTTATATAATTTGGGCCAATTCACCTGGAAACCTGAGGGCCAAGAATAATTTGTCTGAGGGCCACATTTGGCTCATGAGTAGGGGTGGGCGATATATCGATATTTTAAATATATCGAGATATCGATATGAATTCTGACATATCGTATATATCGATATAATGCTTATATTCAATTCTGATTTCGCAGCTTCGCTTGTTTACCTTCTCTCTCGTCGCCTCCGCGCTCCCGCCTCCCTGATTTTGTTCGCTCGTGTCTCCTTCACTCCGTCACTGTCGCCCTGAACGCCGAAAGTTGGTGCCAGTGAAAAACTTCAAGCACCACGAACCTTTTCCACCATTTACAGACAAGAACATCAGCAGCACATCCTCATATTCCACCGAGTCGCGTCCTTTAGCCCGAAAGAAGCTAAACGAGCTGAGCTGCATGAGAAGTGCACTGTTTATGCAAATGAGCCATGCGCTTAAGTTTCGTTTCTGTAAAATGTAAACACACGTGCGCAAAACTGCATTAAACACATTATTATCGCTAACAGGCTGATGTGGCTCTAGAGTCGTTATGCTTTATATATTGTAAAGTTTAGCAATGTAAAGTTTATTTATGCAGAATATTTTAATGAATAATCTGCTGCAGTGTCACTTGTACAATAGTGTTTGGAAACGTTGGGTTTGATCTGCAGTGGATTGTGGGATTAAACCTCAGAGCTCCTTACTGCTGGATAATAACATGGATCTATTGAAATAAGGAACATCCTGAGCTTCTTTCTGCTAAATGAGCTCATGGTTATGATTATGGTCTGGATAACAGAGTTAATGCAAAGATGAACTTGTATTGAGTTGTTTTATTTATGAATGAAAAGAAGAAAATATGTATTATTTCCTTTATTTTACAGTTAAATTATTATTTATGTAATTAGGGTTTTTTGTAATCTTAAATGTTCCTATATGAACTGTCGACCTCTTACACTTCAATTAAAAAAAAAGGACCTTGTGGAATTTGGCAGATTTGTTTTTGCAGTTTTCAGTTTTAGGGGGTTATTTTTTCTTGAACATATATCGAGATATATATCGTATATCGAGATATAGCAAAATATATCGAGATATATTTTTTGATCCATATCGCCCAGCCCTACTCATGAGCCATAGTTTGGACATGCCTGCCTTAAACGAATGCTACTACTAAAAATAAATGGCAATAAATAAATAGCAGAATGCAACACTTCAGTAATTAGTTCATTACTTTATTCATTAATTTGTTCATTATTAATTCATAATGAGTCATAGGAGTGATTTATAATTCAACCCTCTACAGCTCAAATGTAATCATAGAACAGAAAAACACCAAAAAGTTCTTTACTGAAGAAAAGGTACCCACAGTAAATATTGACCCACAAAAATTATTTGATATATACAGGCCTATTGCCCAGCCCTATCATAACATAAAATATCTTTAAAAATATATAATAATGAATCAGATTGGTACTGCAGGACGGCTTAGGGGTCAGAGAATTGCACACATTCAGTGCCTGGAGTTATTGAGTCTCTGCAGTATTTTCTGATCTTCTGTAATAGTTGTATAAAATAAGACAGTTGTGAATAAATGCCTTTATTCTGCAAGACAACAGCTATTTGTCAAAACAAAACTGTCAAAACTTAAAGGGCTCATATTATGCCTTTTTCTGATCTCTGTTATAATGTTGTATCCTCATCACAAACCAACCTGGAGTTATATTTTGTTTATTCACACATGTTTAACACACAAACTCTGCATATTTAGGCTGAGTTCTTCTCTCAAACAGAAAACACTTTGGACACTATAGGACCTTAAACACCGTGTCCTCCACAAGTTTCTCCTTTTGCTTCGCTGTTAATCTTTGCTTTGAGGCTGAGGAGTGGCCCAACCTGTTTTTTTTTTTTTTTGCTGTGATCACCTGATGTCTCACAAACCAAACTCCTTCCACCACCGTGAATATGGCCCTTGTATAACTAATTACATAACACCTTTTGAATGCAATTAGCCTGACTGAGAAGCAAGACATTACTTACACTTAAGTTAATCAAATTTCACCTCAAACTGTCTGCCCCAGCTGAAAACATAGCCCAAAGGAGAAACGATTTTGGACAGCGGAGGGGTTACTTCTGGTATCTTTACTTGTATCTATGTAGAAATGCATTACCTCATCACTGACAAGACAAGGAACTGCATTTGAATTGTTGTCTTCATTTTCCAGTAAAACACCGTTTTGTTTCCCTCTTGGTAAAGCTGCATGATTTTGATAAAAAAATAAAAATTGCGATTGACATAGATTAGCAAGATAAGTTTAAAAAGTTGGAAGAGCGTAACAAACTAAACATTTGACTGAAAAATGAACTGAAAGACTAACACAAGAGTCCCATGCATTTCAGAACATTTTTCTTGTGGTCTAAGCTGCAGTTAAACATTGATTAATCTATTAATAAAAACAGGAATTTCCCTGACCTAATATTTGCCTTTTCCTCTTGTGTATGACATATTGGTCAGATGTTGTTGGTTGAAGCTTGCAGTGTTTTTGCAATTTTGAAACTCTTAGGCAAACTCTGAAAGCTGCAGTTAACTATAAGCAACATAATGACTAAATGTCCCTGTATCTCTATGGCCGTTTTTAGAATAAGAAATTAGGACCGTTGCCGTAGCGATTTAGCCAGACTGGCGACATCTAGTGCCTCCGCTCAATTTCATTTCTCTCCAGCGACTAGGTCAGGAATCAGAATACCCTAGACGGTTCGCAAAAACCCCGGAAGTGCGAGTTCGGGCACCAGCCAATCAGCGAAGCGTGATATATATTTAGTGTTGTCAAGGAGGATTTAAGTGAGGATTTAAAGCTGGAACAAAGAGAATGTTTGCTGAATTTTATCAAGGGGAAAGACGTTATTGCCCTTCTTCCTACAGGATTTGGGAAAGGTTTAATATACCAGTTAGCGCTTAGCATTACATATGTCATGACCAAATAGCAGCAATTGGTTAAATGATAAAAAAGTATCCACCAACCATCGAGCGAACGAAATCTAAGGCTACGTTCAGACTGCAGGGCTTAACGTTCAATTCGGATTTTTTTGTGAAATCCGATGTTTTTGCGAGGTCGATCACATTTCCAATTAAATGCGACTTGTATGTGACTCCAGTGTGAACAGTAAACGGCCCAAAAGTGTTTCGCATGTGCACTGGAGACACGATGACGTCATCCACAGTGAGCATGCTCTGTGTTTACGGAAGTTGTCCAAACATGGTGCAAGCACTGAGCACCTGGAAATTTTAAAGATCTCTCGCACCGGAGCCAGAACATGAACAACTTACTTGTTTTAAGGAGATTGAGAAGGACGAGGTTTTTGGCCCTGGCGTTTTGTGGGACAGTCCGTTGAAAGGAACATGTGGATGTGGAGACGTAGCCAAGAGTGGTAAGTGGTGATGTGCTTTGATTCAGTGACACTGAGTTCATTAATAATTTTTGCCTACTTCAGAGCAGAATAGTGACATTTGTGGCTTGCTGATAACGTGTAGGTTGGATGAATGCGCTTTGGCCGTTCACACTGAAGTTGCGTGTCAAAAGATCAGATATGTATCGGTTTTAGGACCTGGGTCGCATTTGAAAAAATCGGATCTGTGTCATTCAGACTGTCATTAAAAGATCAGATACAGGAACATAGAAGCCAAAAAATTGGATTTGGGTTAGTCTGAACGTAGCCTAAGGCTGCGAGGTCAGACAGTTTGTACGAAGTGAAACAAAGTAAAACCGGCCGATGAATCAGGCTAGTAGTGATTAACAATTTAAAACTAATTATTATACATCGAATGGACATGTGGAAATGCTTTTCTCTTTGGAGATGTTATTGCTTTGTCTGGAATGTTTCACAGTATGGCATTAAACCTTTCTATCTTCATGGAGACCAGACCAGACCGAGTTACAGGTCAGATCTGTGGAGAGGTGACCCCGCTCACAGTCAGAATATCTGTTTTTCTAGGTGTTTTTGAGCTATAAAACCAGTTGCAGTTGAATAAATGTAAGGTAGAGAAGTTTAATGTCATACTGTGGGACATTCCAGGCAGAGCAATGACATATCCATAGAAACAGGCATGTGACCGCCCCCCAACCAAAAAGTTACATAGTGCAGCTTTAAAAGAACGTAATACTCAAATCGAATCAACGTTGCCACCTTCAAATGAAACTGTTAAATTCTGTGTATACAAGTGCATTTACTGTAACCAGCCTTCAGTCTTATATCAGTATACTTGTGAGTAATGGGCTTTAGGAAGCTGAAGGGCTGTAAATATAAAAGACATCAGCGTTTTCTCATTTGACTCAACTTGTGGTCACTGCAGTTAGAGATTACAAATCATCAGAGTATGTGCTCTACTGTGAGGCCTTGGTTTGGCATGTGACACAGGGCTGACTCAGCAATGTTGCTTCCTGCCATTCATAGGATTTTTTTTCCTCAGAAATTATGATGGAAATCCTGTTACTACTATTTCTTAACGTTATATTTTTGACAGTTTTATTACAAACTACGCACTAACGATCAATTCATACTACATTAGAAGTAAGTTTGGCCTGTTCTTGAGACTTAAAGGTCCTATATTACGCAAATTAACTCCCATGAGCTTTAAGATGTGTCATAAGGTTTCCTCATCAAAAACATAACTGGAGTTGTGTTTTCTTTCATTCACACATTGTTTGAGTAATTCTTTATTATTAGTCTGTCTACATCTCCAAAGCTCAAAATGCTCTGTTCCACCTTGTGATGTCATGAAGTTGTAGTTTTCAAGTTAACAGCTACCTTTTACATTTAGTTCAGTAGAGATTTGCAATTCCAGGGCTGTAATTACCCGAAAGATTCTAGAGAAGGCATATGGAGTTTAAAAACACAGTAGAGCATTTCCTGTATTACCACATGACATCACAAGGTGGAACTGAATGTTTGAGGGACGGTCACAGCTTAAAACTATGCAGGATTTGTGTGTTAAACATGTGTGAATGAAACAAAACACAACTCCAGGTCTGTTTGTGATGAGGAAACATTATTAACATAAGTCTAAAGTCTAACAAAGCCTCAGACAGAGTAAGCATACAGTCAGCATCGCACTTCCAGAGAAAAAGAAAATTGATGATCATCTGCAAAGTATCAATGTAAATGTTAAAATGACACTATATTATCTTGTATTGACTGATCTTTTGTCCCTGTTCTTTCCTCCAGCGGCCTTCCTCACACAGACGGTATGTTTGGACGATACAACAGTGAAGTTTGAGATCTGGGACACGGCCGGGCAGGAGCGCTACCACAGCCTGGCGCCCATGTACTACAGAGGAGCACAGGCCGCCATCGTGGTCTATGACATCACCAACACAGTATGTAGAATGCACAGCGTCATGGCGATTTTAATAACAGAAATGCAGATGTTTTCATATCATGGGTCTGTCACAATTATCAATTTGATTTATTTTTATTCTTATTAAAACAAACAAATGTGGTTTTTGAAGGCTCTATATGACACAAAATTTACTTGTGCTTTAAGCCATGTTGGAATGCAGTTTTGTTTCATTCACACATAACCTGGTTTATTAATCTGTTTACATCTCCAAACCTCAAAATGCTCTCTTCCCCCTTATGATTAGGGGTGTGCAAAAATATTGAAATATCGATATATTGTATCGTTTAATGTGATGATACACTATCAGTATCGTGGACTGCTGTATCAATATATCACCAAGAGTGTTTTTTGGTATGTTTTACTGAATTATTTAGTTACAGAGCTACAGTTTTGTTGCTTGTTTAGACGAAGGAAACTCGTTGATGCGACACATTTGACATTTTCACTGCTTTGATGATTTAAAGTGTTTGAGTTTCATATGAACTTTGCACAAGAAGTGGTTTAACAAAGACTTTTGGTATCACAGCTGTGATTTAGTCTTTATTTTTTACTCAACTCTATCGAATCGATTTGAAATATACCGTATCAAATCAAATGTTCACTGTATCGAGATGTGTATCGTATCAGCAAGTTCTTAATGATACCCAGCCCTACTTGTGATGTCATCTAGTTTTCAAGTTAACGGCTACCTTTTACCATTAGTTCAGTAGAGCAATTGGCAATCTGTAATTATTTGTATCCAAATGATTCTACTGAAGGCGATTGGAGTTTAAAAACACAATGCAGCACTTCCTGTATTACCACATGACATCAAAAGGTGGAGCAGAAGTGTTTTGAGAGACAAACTCAGCCTAAATATGCAGGGTTTGTTTAATATGTGTGAAAGAAACAAAACCAAAACAATTCTAGGTATGTTTTTAATGAGGAAATAACTTGATAATATAGATCAGAAAATAGAGTAGAGTAAAATGGACTCTTTAATTATGCATTTTATTGCCCAAATGTATAAAGAGCTACTTGATTTTCTTTACTATTGCATTTAGTTGATTTTATTGTATTTATTAGAGGTAGTTCATTCATATAAATTTCTTGCAAAATATCAAAGTATAACAGTGTAAAAAGTCTTGTCAGCAACAGTGTCTTGACTTCAGATTATTACATAAGCATGTATTTGGTATTTTCAAGTTTTGTTTTCCTGATAAACAAAACATTTCATTCAATTCTTATATGCCATAAAATCAGCCATTGGTTTTTAATTTTCATGGGGCTCTTTTTGGAACACTTTCTTTTATTTTTTGAGGTTTTATCAAATTACTATGCCCATGTTGTGGGCCATATTCACAAAAACAGTCCGCTGAGTGGCTGCTGCTGACTCCTGTCTTTCTGCAGTTGATGATTGCTTAATTCATTTAAACTGCTCCGGACCTTTGGTCTTGTAACTTGCAAACTCATGTAACAAGTCAACTGATTTCAGCTGCTTTTTGAATTTTTTAAAGATATAAAAGAGTAAAAAATTGCAAAAATATATATAACTCTTATCATTTGGTACATTTAAGTTCAGCCATTTGCAATAACAATACAGTCAGGATATACTGAAATGCAGATTAAGTAAAATGATGTTAAAAAGTTAAAGTTAAAAACAGTACTTTGGGAAACTACTGTTCAAGTAAAGGCAACTGTCAGGTCGTAATATCTGATTTATAATTTGAAGTGAATGTAAATAGAAGGACAAAGTGATATAAGAATGCTCAGAATAAAGTATTTTCAGAGGTTTAACCGTACAAAGTGGAAAAATAAAATCACATCTGAAGGAGTGACGCAAGAAACACAAATGTTCAAATCATTTCATATTGTCAACATCAAGATTTTGTAACTTGTAAACTCACAGCGGAAGAGGAACTAAAACTTAAGTCAGAGTACTGTTACGCTGCCAAATATATTAGTGATGTAGCAGCATCAGAAATGGTGTCAGACTGCTCTGATGTTGTCAAAATGTCATTTACTTGGATTTAGACAAACTTTATTGATCCACAATGGACTAGGGATTGGACGAGACACAATCTCTGGTCCATGAGATTGAGACAAGACAAGATTTTAACATAATTTCTAATATATATATTTCATGATTATGTTTCAAATTTTGGCCTCACCATTTTTTATTTACTTGATTTAATATTTTTATTTTAGGACTGCTTTTTGGTACTGTTAGAGATATAACAGAGATCGTCAACATGTAGCACTTTTTTGTCAAATCCAAATCTAAACAAATCTCACAAGATCATTTTTCTCATGTGATCTTGTGGCAAATTTGTCTTGTGAGATCACACATCACAATATATTATAATAACAAAAGAGAAAAAATATAAATGGTAGTAATAAATTCTATGACCTCAAACTGAAGGTGGAATTGTGCAATTTTCCTATAAGCTGCCACAAACATATTACCTCTTAGTGTAAATCAATGTTTTTATGTGCATTTTCCCTGACAAAACAAAACAAAAAAGTTATTCAGTGCTTTCCACCTGTGCTCACTTGTGCCGTTTTATTTTCAGGATACATTCACACGTGCAAAGAACTGGGTGAAGGAGCTGCAGAGGCAAGCCAGTCCCAATATTGTCATCGCTCTGGCGGGGAACAAAGCAGATCTGGCCCAGAAGAGGAACGTAGACTTCCAGGTATAGACGGGTTTGAGTCTAAATATGATAAAAATAAATACATAAATAATAAATATTTAAATTGACTGTGCATTGTTGTTTTCAGGAAGCACAAGCGTACGCCGATGATAACAGTTTGCTTTTCATGGAAACTTCAGCCAAAACTGCTGTGAATGTCAACGAGATTTTTATGGCTATTGGTACGTCATGTTCCAAAGAAGTAATTATGTTTTCAGTGACCTACAGAAGTTATAAAAGGTGCATGACAGTTTTGCGGTTTCAAGTGGAAAACAAAATTAAGCAAGAAAAGAAGGAAAAACATCTGTATATTAGATATTGAGTTGGTTAACAGTGCTTTGTCACCTCAGTCACACTTTAAACTAGACTTTGTGTGCTAATCACTATGCCGAAAAGTGGCTAAATGTCCTATTGTTTATTATTTTTATTTGCTAGAAAGTGGTAGAAAATAGTACAAATGGCACAGATACCTAAAAATATTGAAATCATTTTTACAGTGGATAAACTTTACTTTTTATCAGTACTTTCGACTTCACAGCATTTTTTAAGTGGACTGAAACATCTGCTGAAATGGTTGCGTGTTTTTTTGTTTTGTTTTTTTGAAGCCTTTAGGGACACATCTTGCTGGGAAGTATTGAATTGAGCAAAATATCTACATAAAACTAGCCAGGAAAATTTAAGAATCACTTCAGTTTCTTGTGATTATCAAAAAACGAGTACTTTTCTACTGAAGTCGCTGACACATCCAGTATGAACCTTTCCAACATCGATATCTAGATTATTTTTGTTGAAGGTCCATGTGCTTTTGAATCAAAATTATGTCTTCAAACCTACAGCATCATAGCAAAAACATAACCAAATCTACTTTGTTTATAGCAGATTTTATCAACAAAACAGTTTTCAGTGCTGCACATATACAGTAAAAATAAAATTAAAAACAACAAAAGGTATTAAAAAAAACAGAGGGCATAAATGCTCAATTTAACCATGCCAGTCCTAAAACACTAAAATCAGTGAAGTCAAATAAAAGCAAACTCATAAAATAGCAATAAAGAAATAGAATTAATAGAAAAATATACAAAAATGAAAAACAAACAAACAAACAAAAAACCCAGAAACATCTATAACTACTACTTCATGTTGCAAATGCATTGATATATTCCTTGTTCTTTGTCAACAGCCAAGAAGCTGCCTAAGAACGAGCCACAAGGGGGCGCCGGAGCGGGGGGCCGTGCTCGAGGCGGAGTGGACCTTCAGGAAAGCGCGCCACAAGGAAGAAGCGGTCAGTGTTGTGGAGGCGGCAACTAACAAAACCACCACAACAACAAACAAAAACCCAACTCGCACCAATCTACAGCTATGATCAACCACACCAGATGTCTACCAGCTGTCAAACAACCAACTACGCCCCCTATTGGCCAGACCGAGGCACTGTCCGGGCCCTAAAACACAGCACAAATTAACTGAGAGAAACCAGAGGCCAGTAAAACGCCCACTGATGGTTTCCGGTAACTATAACAACAGACCAAGAAGAAGACCAACGTAACTCAATCATGTTTTAAAACTGGGGACTCAACTTGCCGTTCCGTAACCTCGTTTTGATGGACAGCTTAGGGGAGTTATAATTGTCCCATATGTGGAAGGAGGAAAAGATTAGTCATTACAAATTAATGGGCCGCTACTGCTACTACTAGTGTATTTGTGTAGAAAAAATAACATTGAAAATATATGGGTTGGCCCCTTGTCCTTTCTATTCTTTCTTTGCTGTGCGATCGTTTCTCAGATCATTTTCATCAAAGACTTTTAACTGGAGGCGCATGGGCAATTGATATTTGGAAAAGGAGATTGACAACTTAAAGATGCACTGTGTAACTTTTCTGTCTGCTTGTCAGTGCGTTGCCTGAAATGTTCCACGTCATAGCATTAAACTTATTCAACTTAGTTATTCAATTACAGGTTTCAGATTGGTCAAAAATACCTTAAAAAAAAACATTCTTGCATTCTTTCTGTGATGGGCTGCCTTTTCAGAGATCTGACTTGTAACTCAGCCTAGCGGTGCCACCAGCTGGTCTACAGAGTTTCAAGTCGCCATGGAAACAAAAGTTACACAGTGCGTCTTTAACGAACTGAAAACTGTTCCTCCGATGAAGCTGTGTAGAATGAATTATTACAATGTTAATGTTATCACTATTATTTGACACAAGCTAAGTATGATTTCTTACCATGCAGTCCGTAGTCCACTGTCACCGTAATTTTTAGTATTAATGTAATGTTTTTGAATCATCGTTGTACAAATAAAAAAAAACATGCAGCAAGTTTTTGTTTTCTCGACCAAAATCACTCTATTGTGTATTGAAAACAGATTGCTGTATTTGTATCAGACTTTTCAAGTTTATAATATTAATCAATAGTAGTTCTTATCGTCAAAAAGCTTCCCAATCTTGTTTTGTCGACCTTAAGTGATGGATTTTTTTTTATGTCTTAATTTTTCTGAAGATCTATGGTATTAAATGCACTGGTTCTGTCTCATCATCTTTGTGGATTAAGATGTTGTCCTCTGCCTCCTTTTAATTTTAAGTTTTCTTTTTTCTATTCTGTCATTTGTACTCTTTATGGAGGGAGGGAACGGTCTCCTGTCGGCATCGTAGCACCTACACGGATGGGAGCGGGCTGGAACTAAAGAAGAAAGATGTAATTTTACCAATAAAAACAAGGAGATGGTAAAATTTGGATGGTCTGTTTATCATTTGGTATCATTAAAACCTGCATCTAAATGATAAGGTTTGAAATAGAAAGTAAATATGACATTTTTTATTGGCAAATTGTTTCATGTTTGTTCAAAACTGGGTTACCCGTTTTATAGCCTGTTTAATAGGTCAAATAGTCATGAAGATTTTTCAAACTACATTACCCAAAATAGCAATAGAGTTAATGTTGTGTTTAAATACCTGCTACAACAGTTGTTTCACGTCATCACCACAGGAGGACGCTCTTTTTCTGACCATGAATTGCCAAACTGGGAAACGTCAAATTTGTCTTAAGTAAAATGTATATTTAATTAAACATATCTAATACTTTCCAGGACACTCAAAGGTGCTTCACAAAATAATATGAACATCAAGTGGAATAAATTATTTAGAAAAGATTAAAACTGTTAATTGTGTAAAGAAAAGAAAATTAATTTCAAGATTAAAGCCAGTTACATATTTTATTAATATTAGTTAAAACTGTATTTGTCTTGAATTTTTTCCGGTATATTTATACTTGCATATATTGTACCACAGAAAATGTTGTTATCTTCTCTTAACACATATTTTGGGCATTTATGGTAAAAAATTATTTGGAAAAATAAAAATTGTAAACAAAAACATTTGAAATTCTTGAATGGAGGCAGCTGGAGGCAAAAATAAAGTAGAATATAATGCGATTTTCATGGGGAAACTAGGATTAATTTCAGAATATCACAAATTATGAAAAATCAAGGACAATTTGGAAAATGAAAACCACTCAGACACTCGTGAGTGATATCAGAGTTCAGTTTAAAAACCTTTACAATTGTGTTTATTTGTTTATTTGACAAGAGATTATGATAGACAAAGCATTTTTACAAAGGCAAAATCCATATTTTGAGGTTTTACTGGACAAATCCTTACAGAAATGTTGAGCCCACAGCACTTTTTCACTTCATCTACAGATATATTACACATTCATCATACTTTTTGTAAAGCCCAAATACTATTTTAGGGTTAGGGTTAGAAAACTGTATTTCTTTCTTTCCTTCTTAACAGAGAAGCAAAGTAAATAAGATTTGTACCTTGAAAATTCAAAATGGTTGCTTATTTTTTATTATTATGTCATAAAACCAAAGCATTTATCTGGGTTAGCTAGTCACTTAATAATTGAAAATATATAATGCTTCATTTTGCTTTGCCTCCATTCCAAAATTTTGAACATTTAGATTTCAAAGGGTCTATAATAGCTCTATGCGATTTCTGTTTTGTTTTTTGTTAAGTTGTTCATGTTTGTACTCTAAAATCGTGTTGTAGTTTGTGGACATTTTTTTTCCCGACAGCCCCTGAACCCGTGGGCGGAGCTGAGCCTTCCATGGCCGGGAGAGAGCGCACCTCCTCCGGGCGCAGCGGCAGCGGCAGCGGCAGCGTGGACATGTCCGACCCGGCGGCACAGGCCCTACAACCCCGGCTCCTGCACCACCAACAGGGCGCCTCGGGGGGCTCGGCTGGGTCCGCGGCGGGCGCTACTCCCTCCTCCGCGACCGGCAGTAGCGACCCGGCCAGACCCGGCCTCAGCCAGCAGCAGCGGGCGAGCCAGAAGAAAGCCCAAGTCCGAGCGTTCCCACGGGCGAAGAAGCTCGAGAAACTTGGCGTCTTCTCGGCGTGCAAGGTAGTTAGCCGTTAGCATTAGCATTAGCCTACCAAAGTTCATCACAACAAAGCACGATCGGGTTAGCATTTGTGTTTGTACTCGGTGTTCAAATGCAGATTGCGGTCTAAAATGCTAACATGCACAACTACAACTTCATTACTACCAAAGTGTATGCATTAGCTAGCCAACCCAAGCCATATAACTTAATAAAATGCGTATTATTATCACGTATTATGACATCAAACGGAATTGTGCAGCAGAGATCATTTCTATGGTGTTTTCATGCGTGACAGCTACGTTTTTGTCATTTTAGGCTAACGATACGTGCAAATGCAATGGATGGAAAAACCCAAATCCACCCACGGCCACCCGTATGGACCTCCAGCAGCAAGCGGCCAGCCTGAGCGAGCCCTGCCGCAGTTGTGGACATGCCCTGGGTACAAACTAGCCACACTCCCTCCCCCCTCTAGGACCATAACATCATTAACCACTGCAATAAATTAGGAGTTTAATGCTTTGTTTTTCATCTGCAGCGGACCACGTTTCGCACTTGGAGAACGTATCCGAGGATGAGATCAACAGACTGCTGGGAATGGTTGTGGATGTGGAAAATTTATTTATGTCAGTGCACAAAGAAGAGGATACTGATACCAAACAAGTCTATTTTTATCTTTTCAAGGTGGGAGCAGTGCTTATTCTGTAATCTAATCTAATCTAGGCTATTTTAGGGCTGCGAGATTAACTGCAATCACATAGAAATCACAATTAGGAAGTCACAAAGGCTGCTATTTTTAAAGTACTACAATTTTTACCATAAACAACCAAATATTCTTTATCTTATTCTATAGAAAACTGCTATCCTTGTAGCTTTGGTCTGTACAAACATGTTCTGAAATGTGATTCATATAGTTTTTAGTCCATATTTCAGTCAATTCTTAACAGAATCCTCTTAAAACATAAATCTCAAATCTTATCTCAATGCTTGTCAGAAAAAATGTAATTTGATATTGTCCCCAAATTATTCAGGCCTAGTCTGACATATTGCTGGTCTGGATATTGGACACGTCATCATTAATAATTCACAAATCTTTGTCTGTTTTAGTTGTTGAGAAAATGCATCCTACAAATGAGCCAGCCTGTTGTGGAAGGATCTTTGGGGAGTCCGCCCTTTGAGAAGCCAAACATTGAACAGGTAAACAGGTCTTATTCACTGCTATCCAATTTAAAAAGGATTATGGCTTACAGCTTGTTGATTCATGTTGATACTTGAGTTCCATGAATTTGTTTAGTTTTTAATTTTCTGCTTATACTGTGTGAAAAAACCCGATCTGAATAGCTCATTTTCAAAACTTTGTCACTCTGTATATAATTTTATTGAGATGGGGTCTGATAGATTTAATATTTGTGACATATGGGGTAGGGATGGGACAAGATCTCGGGTCACCAGATCTCACGAGACGACATTGCTACAAGATTGGGCACACAGACAAAAAATGATCTCATGAGATTCTTGTCTTCATATTTTTACATTTGCCGTGGATAAGAAAAGATTAATGTTGCTGAGTAACTTCTCTTGATGAGATGTAGTTCCATAAAACAGTGCTACAATGACGGCAAAACCATAAAGTAATAAATAAATAAATTATGAAGCCAAACTTACAAACTAAATGGTATAAATTATTCATGAAAAATTATATGAAAATCTTATCTTGTCTCATTCTCGTGGACCAAATCTTATGTCTCGTCTCGTAGAAATTGTGTCTTGTCCCATCCCTACATAGAGGTAGGTAATATGTCCGTGATAATTACATTTTTTAATCATTATTATTATTATTATATTATGCCATTAACCATGAACAGAATGTATTTTTGTCAGTCCAACAGAAATATTCCAAAGTGTGACTTAAATTATATTACATAAGGTTTAAATGTAATTTTAAAGAGTGTAAAATTATCCACAAACTGACAAGAGATATCACTTTGTTTGAAGACAAAACTGATCACTGTTTTATATTTTATTTGATTAATTTTGCAGCATTTTTCTTTCATCATTTGTGTGTCGACATACAAAAATCTACCTATTAGCGCCATCTGACAGTGTGACATATTATATTTTTATCATATTACAGGAGCTAATACCCTTCCAAGTTTTATAATTCTTTGGACAGTAGTACATGATGTCATCGAAACAAGATTATCCCAGTTACTTCAGACTCGGTTTTCCATATAATTTAACAAGGAGAGCTCGTGCATTTAACATTTGTGTAACGTAATCCCCCATTTCCGTGTCTTCCAAAGGGAGTCTTGAATTTTGTGCAGTATAAATTCAGCCATCTGGCGCCAAAGGAGAGGCAGACCATGTTTGAGCTTTCCAAAATGTTCCTCTTGTGCCTAAATTATTGGAAACTGGAGACGCCGACTCAGTATCGCCAGCGCACTCAGAAAGAAGATGCTACGGCCTACAAAGTGGACTACACCAGGTCTGTGCAGAAAGGATAAGGATTCAATTGATTTTATTCTCAAATACCACTTTAGACTTAGACAAACATTATTGATCCACAAGGGCAATTACTTGGACACAGTAGCTCACACATCACAATATATTATACTAACAAAGAGTAAAACTATAAATGGTGATAATAAATTCTAGTAGCAAAAAAATAGCAAGAGACCCTTGTCAGATAAGGCATAATTGTATAATGTGTATCTACAAGTCAAAATAAAATAGAAAATAAGTAATAAAATTATCTCAGCTGTATACAAGAAGTCACAATGAGAAAAAAGTGCAAAGATGATATGATGATTAACAGGACACATGGTTATCTGTTATATAAGGGTGAGTTGTACAGTTGTATGGAGTATGGTATGTGTCACTATTTGCAAGAAAATACTATGTGTTTTTTACCTTTTTATTTGAAAACCAGCATAAACTGCATTAATTTGACTAAACTACTCATTTTCTATTGGGCTTTTTCCTTTTTTTTGTTTTAATTTCTGTCGGCACAGATATCTTATTTTTGTCCTGCTGTTGTGTTCAATTAAACATATTTGCTGATACCAGTAGTTTTAAAAATCTACAGAAAAGGACTAGAAATTTATGTTCCCTTGTAGTTCACAAATTACCTGTCCACGTTTAATTCTAAAGTATTTTTGTTCTGGGATTTAAGTTATTTTTGTACACAGTTGTGTCTATTTAAACAAGACGTTTAGACAAATGTTGCTGTATGTTTACACAAGATTCACTGAGGACTAATTTTGGCTACATTGTCAATATCAAACCAATACTGCTATCAGGGGAAAACTATCTGATATCTCCTATACTTCTATAATACCTGCTATATTCCCCAATTTTTGTATTGAGAAATGAGAACTGATTTTAATTTGACTGTGTTTACTCAAATTCTAACTTATCGTTATCATTAGGCCTCATATACTGTATGTGTTTTCATGGCATTGCAAATTGAAAACAAGATTCCCTTAACAGCACTTTACATATGCCCGCTAATTTAAAATCTTAGATTAAAGATCTACAAGTTTAATGCCATACTGTGGAACATCCCAGAAAATGTAATAACCTCTCCATGGAGATAAGCAGAAAAGTTACATAATGCACTTTTAAGATACTACTATTACTAAACTTTTATCTGATCTTACTCTTTGTTCCTTACTTTTTGTATTATTAGATATTGTGTTGTAGAATAAGGCTGCCATTTTAAAGGCTGAACTTGATGTACAAAATGTATTACACTGTTTTATGTTGCTGAGAACAGGGTTTTGTTTCTGTGTATCTTTTTATACTGAACTGACAAATGAATTCTGTTTCTGATTCATAACATTTGTATTTAAAGTTGTAATGTATTTTTTTTCCTCCTCTTTGTCAGGTGGCTCTGTTACTGCCACGTCCCACAGAGCAATGACAGTTTACCCCGATATGAAACCACTCAGGTGTTTGGACGCAGTTTACTCAAGTCCATCTTCACGGTGACACGACGCCAACTACTGGAGAAGTTCAGAGTCGAGAAAGACAAACTGCTGCCAGAGAAACGCACACTCATCCTCACTCACTTCCCCAAGTTAGTATCATTTGTAAACATCTCCATGCTAAATTTTTTTAATTGGTTAATATTAAGATAAACCTAATTGTGCTTGTTTTGTCCAGGTTTTTGTCGATGCTTGAAGAGGAGATCTATGGAGAGAATTCACCGATCTGGGAGGCAGATTTCATCATGCCCGCTTCAGATGGGGCACAACTTGGGCAAACAGGTGAGAAAATCCTCCTTATTGACAAACTAAAATAATTGTCTCAGAGTAATCGCGAATACTTGAGAAATGAAATAATTGTAATTAGCTCTGCAAGTGCTATAATTTCCTCCACAAATAATCAAATATCCCGTCTTATTCTGTGTAAAAAGACCTCTAACACTGTAGTTTAGGTCTGCACAAACATGTTCTGAACCGTGATTCTTGTATTAGTCAGTTCGTATTTCAGTCCTTTTTTAATTCTTCTGGACGTGTTAAAACGTGAACTTTGAACAGAATCCTTTTAAGACATAAATCACAAAGCCGTATTGTAATTAAATATTTTATTCTAACTTGTTCATCCCTAAATGTAATTTTATTTTAATTATTGTTATTTGGCCTATACAGACTCTTTAAACACATCCCAAATACGTTTTTATAGCAGAAATAAAAGTCAAGTAAGCATTTGACAACGAGAAGCCATGCGTTATGCAGTTTTAACGCACACCGCGGAGTCGTGTTCTTCTGAAGTGCTGTACAACTGCATACCGCACGGCTCCAAGTTGTTTAATGCGCATATACCATGGCTTCAAACTGAAATATTTCACCTGTGAGTCTGAAATGCTTGTCCACTGTCTGTAAATATCTCAAATATATCACTTATAGTTCTTTTAGTGTTTTAAATGACGTTAGTCCCCACATTCTACTCAGAGCAGAGGAGGATGTATGTCATGGTGATGGCACCAGAGCGGTGATATAGAACAGTGATTTGCCTGTTGCCGGAACTACTTGTGCATTATGCAGTGTTAATGCACAGCAGTTAGACATTGAAGTTCTCACTGACCGTGGTTTAAAAAGGAACAAACAATTTCTGAGTTTCATCATTGATACACTTAATTTGTAAATATTCTTTAAGCCTTCATTTACCATTTTTTATTAAACCTTGATAATAATTCTAGATCTTAATACTTATAACTACCTCGAAGTTATAATTTTGTTTGTCTTTTGCAGGGATCAGTGCTTCTGTTGTCTCTGGCTCTCCTCGCCTTGTGAAGGGTTTGAGCAGCGCCTCCTCTCTCACCAGTCTGGATGCAGGAGTTACAGAGACTATAACAGGTCAGTGAACACAGCACAATGACAGATACTAGTTGAAGTATTTGATGGAAGACATGTTAAATGACAAAAAAGTGGACCTGGCTCTCAAACTCATTGGCTTCTTGTGGGCAAATACTATGTACATGGAAAGGTACTAATAAATTGCATCTTCTTAAAAATGTTACTCCCAAAACTCCAGCGAACTCACTCCATGCTTCCTCTCCGCTGTTGTGCATAGTAGTACGTTTTATTTACATAGACGCTTTTCTAAATACTCAAAGACGCAGTACAAAGAAAATGCGGGTTTCTGTTGCCAGACAGCGAGTACTTGGGTCTAGTCACTAATAGGCATGGGACGATACAGAAATTTGGTCTCTCGTTTATCATGGCCAAGATAGTTGCGGTTAAAGATTATACCACGATAATTATGAAAGTTGCTGACAGTTTAAAATGTTAGGAATATATGAATAATGATAATTTGAATTAGAGCCTGACCGACATATCGGTTGGCCGATATTATCGGCCGATATGGGTACCTGGAGGCATATCGGCTATCGGCCGATATTTCACGTGGGCATGTGATACGTCTTTAAAAATCTTAGATTCTCTACATTCTGTTCATTTAATCCAATTTACAGACAGATAAATGTCCTAATATATGGCTCCACATCAGTATTTATCCACGGAGTCATTTGTCTTTTGTCTGTGTGTGCGTCCGTACTGTCCCTGAACACACCACAGAGTCGTGTCACTCAGGTGCGTTTGTTTACACCCGCATACACAGATCCAAACATTGAGATTATATTCTTCAACAATCGGTTTGAGTCTGGATTAAAAGGACATTTATTAGTGCAGACTTGTGATGTGAGGAGGAGCCTGTGTGAGCGGTGAGTGTTGGAAATATGTCGACTTTGAAGCTAGTTTTGGTCATTTGTTATGGGTTAGCTGCTGTAGCTCCCGCACATAAACAAGCTGTTTTCTATTGGTCTATTGTAAAGTGACTATATTGGCCGTATATTTGTTACTGGACCTGCATTGATATGTAAATGAGCTGTGAATAGACGTGTGAATTATGACATTTGCGCATATAATTAATTACCGCGGCGCGCACGTATTTACGGCTAAAGGCTAATAGCGATTGTTTCTTTACTAGTTATGGGTCGGTCGCGAACGAAATGACTCTTAGATCCGGCTCTTTGAAGCGAACGACGGGAGACTGATCCTTATTGGGAGTCGTGTTTTCTCTTTCTCTCACTTTTTTTTGTCGCCACGCCGCGTGCAGATTCGTGGTAGTTTGACAGCGGCTGAAAACGAAACTTTGAGAAATTTGCGTGTACATAGGATTAAAAAAAACACACAAAAAAAGAGCATATTTGGCTGTAGTTTAGCATAAAATAAATAAGTCCCGGGTTTAGTCCTTTTTCAGTCCTGGTTTAGACCTGGTTCAGTCCTGATTCAGTCCTGCTTTAGACGTGCTTTAGTCCTGCTTTAGTCCTGCTTGCAACAAAACAATCTGAAGAGCCACTTGGGAGCCAAAAGAACCAGCAGCTTTTAGTGAGCCGAGCCAAAAGAGCCGGTTCTCTAAAAAAGAACTGGAATACCATCACTAGTGTCTAGAATGTGATGCAAAAATGCCATTAAGCCAACCTACTGTCTGTAAATATGATGTAAAGAGGCAGAATAACAATAAATGTTGCCTAAATAAACCCAATTTAAAATCCACCAGAGCCAAACCTAAGTTTTTTAAACAATTCAACATTTACAGTGAATTTTTACATCACTAAATATATCGGCGATTATATCGGCTATCGGCAGAGCCAACTCCCATTATATTGGTTTCATATCGGCCACAGCAAAATCCATATCGGTCGGGCTCTAATTTGAATATTATCAATAGATTTCATATTGAAATAACTGTTATAGTGTTGTACTTTTTTAGTGAAAGTGAAAACAGCAATGATCTAGAAGAGAACATCATGGATAATAAGCTTTTTTCAGCACATTCTGGTGATTAACTTTGTTGGAAATGATCACGATTATATAAAATGTCCCACGAACAATTATTGTGTACCCTCCTCATCATGATACACAATATTATTGTTTATTATCCCATACCTAGTCACTAATAGTAATAAGGTTCAGTGTTTGCCATGAAATATCCAAAAGGTAAATTCACAAAGTACAATGTAATCAGTAGAAAAAGCATCTCTAGACCCTCATTTCAGAGTATGACATCCATCACATTCCAGGATCTGATTTGATTTGTCTGTTCTTTCAGGGGAGAAGCGTAAACTCCCAGAGGCACTGACGCTGGAGGATGCCAAAAGGATTCGTGTGATGGGAGACATTCCGATGGAGCTGGTGAATGAAGTCATGATGACCATCACAGACCCCGCTGCTATGCTTGGACCAGAGGCAAGTTCAATATGTAAATGCCGATATGCAGGACTGATTTTGTGCCCATAATATGTGATTCATGTTTATTTCAAAGTAAATTACAACCTACAATGCACCGGTCTACCTAACCGGTGTCATGTGTGAAGGCTGCTAACCCTGTAGTTTAGACTAAAGCGCTAAAAGAACCTCTGTACAATTTCTAAAGTGCGTGTCATTCCAGTATGTTTTCCATTTCATATTTCAGTTGCATTCTTAACAAACCTATTTTAAATGATAACAGAGGAGGTTTTGTGCTTTTACTAAATTAGGCAATAATAACGTTTTCTGAAACTAATCAGTGTCATTGCATATATCTGGCCTGCAACAAGTGTATTCCATGTCTACTACATTTGATACCCACATAAGCAGGATTATATATCAATGCATAAATAGCCGCCTCCTCATTGTCATTCTTGTCATTTCTTTGTCTAGACGAGCCTGTTGACCCCAAACGCTGCCCGGGATGAGACCGCACGGTTGGAGGAGCGTCGTGGCATCATTGAGTTTCATGTGATCGGGAATTCTCTCTCTCAGAAGTCCAATAAGAAGATCCTGATGTGGCTGGTGGGGCTGCAGAACGTCTTCTCTCACCAGCTCCCCCGAATGCCCAAAGAGTACATCACAAGACTGGTGTTCGACCCGTGAGTACACTGATTTATTTGTATTTAGTGTATTTCTCTACATTTTCTCCATGGTCCCATGTTGCACAAAATGGTCTTGTGAGCTTTTAGTGATGTTATAATGTTGTTGCCTCATCACAAACATACCTGGAGTTGTGTTTTGTTTCATTTCCACATGTTTGAGTAGTTCTTTATTAGTCTGTCTACATCACTAAAGCTCAAAATGCTCTTTTCCACATTGTGATTTCAGGAAGCGGTAGTTTTCAAGTTTACAGCTGCCTTTTACCTTTATTTTAGTAGAGATTGACAATTCCAGGTCTGAAATCATCCAATTTAACATTTAAAAACACAGTGGAGTGTTACCATGACATCACAAGGTGGGACAGAGCCTTTTCAGTTTTAGAGAAGAACTCTTGCTGCCTGAATATGCAGGGTTTGTGTGACAAAGCAATAACATTTCCATGGAGAAAAGCGTTTGATGTACCCTCCACTGGAAAAGTTACACAATGCACCTTTTAAAGCCACAGTTTGTAAATGTTTAGCCAAAAACACAGACTAAAATTAAAGCTTTTTCTGTTGTATTTAGTGTACTGGAATTCTTAGAAAAACATGTATTTGCTGTAAGTGGGATTGCATTTCCACAAACTTGACTTTTGCTTGTCTTCTTGTTTCCATGGTAACTGAATGTTCTTTTGACTATAATTGTCCACAGTATGACATAAAACAAATCTATCTCCATGGTTTTAACTTTCATGGAATAATGCAGGTGACATGCCTACTTCAAAACGTTACATACTGTACCTTTATAATGTATTTAGTTTTTTACTAGAAAAAAAACACAGTTTGTGGTACCAGCACATCAATCTCACCTCCTACATTACCTTTAAAATTGCATTTCTCTTTTAAGCCTCGGCAGTGATGGATTTTTCAGTCTTGTCTATTTTATATTGTATTTTCTTCAAACATTATTGGGTTGCTTTTCAAAACAAATTTTATGAGCTTTATGTAACTTTTCTGGTGGAGGATCTATCAAAAGCTTTTCTCCATGGAGATGTGATTGCTTTTCCTGGAATGTTTCACAGTATGGCGTTAAACCTTTCCATCTTCACGGCGACCAAACCAGACCAAGTTAGAGGTCAGATCTGTGGAGAGGCAACCCCACTCACAGTCGGAATGCCTGTTTTTCTAGGGAATTTTTAGCTATAAAACCACGTGTAAGTGAATAAATGTAAAGTAGAGCTGTTTAATGTCATACTGTGGAACATTCCAGGCAGAGCAATGGCATATCCATAGAAAGAACCAGGTAATTTACAACCAGACAGAAAAGTTATCCACCCTTTTAAGATTTGTTGTCATGCTTATCTAAATATACCTTTCCTTTTTACATATTTTCCACTTGTCTTTATCAGGAAGCACAAGACCCTGGCCCTTATCAAAGACGGCCGAGTCATTGGAGGCGTCTGTTTCCGGATGTTTCCCACTCAGGGCTTCACAGAGATCGTCTTCTGTGCCGTGACCTCCAATGAGCAAGTCAAGGTACAGCAGCTACTATTTACGCACAACTAGGGATGAGATGAGATACGAGATTGGGTCAACGAGAACGAGACAAGATGAGATTTTAACATGATTCCTTATTTATACGTTGCACAGTTCAGTTTCCAATTTTGGCCTCACAATTTTTTATTTGATTTCATCTTTTTGTTTTCGTTCAAGTACTGCTGTTTTGAATAAGATGTAACTCAACAACAGATGGCACTTTTTTGTCAATGTTTGCACGTTTTTGTGGCAACAATTTGTGGCAACTTGAAAAATACCAAAAATCTAAATATATTTGTATTGTTTTAATTTTAGGGCTATGGAACTCACCTGATGAACCACCTCAAAGAGTACCACATAAAACACAGCATCCTCTACTTCCTCACGTATGCAGACGAGTACGCCATCGGGTACTTCAAGAAGCAGGTATGTCATCCATGTTCATTTGGTTTGGGGTTTGTGTGTGTTTGGTTCAATAAAGTACATTCAGTATGGAGGGGATGAGGTGCAATTTCCACAATACGAGGCAAGATAAGATTTTGACATTATTTATAATAAATACACTCTGTAATCCAGTTCCCAATTTTAGATTTTTTGACAGTTTTTTATTTAGTTTATTTCATATTTTTGCTGTCATTGTAGCAGTGCTTTTGGGACTACAGCTTCTCAAGTAATGCAGCTCACCAGTACTTAATGTTCTTATCCAATCCAAACGTAAAAACATTGGGAAAAAAATCTTTAAAAATTGTTTTCAGTGTGTGTGCACAGCCTTGTGGCAATTTCATCTCATGAGATCTTGTCCCATTCCTAACATTCAGTATATGACTTGAGTAACAACACCACTTTTTACTCTTTTTCTCCCAAAGAATACATGTATTTCTGTCAGTTGATAGTTTGATATTTAACATCTTCTTAATTGAGAAGTACACTATAAACCAGGCATCTGTATATTGAATTTTCACTGTGAATTCTTCTGTCGTTCTGTACGACCTCTAGATCAGTTAAAGGTTCACTGTGTCATTTTTTTATTGAAGGGTTCCCACCTCCTTGCCTCTGTGGAAATGTTTCTTTATCTGGAAAGTTCCCCAGTATAGTATTATTAATGTAACTGTTTCTATAGAGTTAAATTACTTTTTTTTCCAATGCATTTGTGAGCCATTTAAACACTGAATGCAAGTTTAATACCATATTGTGTAACATTCCAAGCAAAGCAGCATTTTCATGGAGACAGATAGTGGACCCCACACCAGATGTTATACGGACTCCTCGGTATAACTCGCACTATATGAACTCACCTCATAGACCCAGTTCCAGCTCATCTTCATCTGCCTTTGTCCTGTGATCTCAGTAATGTATTTTGTCTTCCCAGGGATTCTCCAAAGACATCAAAGTGCCCAAGAGCCGTTACCTTGGTTACATCAAAGACTACGAGGGCGCTACGCTAATGGAGTGTGAGCTAAACCCCCGCATCCCCTACACAGAGCTGTCCCACATCATCAAGAGGCAGAAGGAGGTCAGTGTGTTTAAGAATAATAAGTTTAACCAGTACTATATGAGCAAAGGGTATTAAAAGTTCACTATGTAACTTTTCTGTTGAATGGTACGCCACCCACTACTCTATGGAGATGTTATTGCATGTATACATGTATGCCATTAAACATATCCATCTTGTATTTTTCAGTTGCTCTTGTTTTTTACTCTTGTTTTTACCTTCAAAAACATGCATTCATATCGTGAGTGGGGTCACCTCTCCACAGATCTGACTTATGTGGTCAAGTGGCATTTCCTGCTTGTCTCAGTTTAATGCCATACTGTAGAATATTGCAGGAGAAACATTAAGATTTCCATGGATACAAGCAGGTGGCAGATCCTTGACCAAGTTACATAGATCACCATTAAATTGTCTTTTTTTGTTTTAGAATTTGGATCTATTTAAAATATAGAGCTTGGAATTTGAATTACTGCGTCACAAATCAAATGTTGGTCATCTGGACAATGTTGTTTTTTTTGGAGAAATTTTATAACCAAAATCAGGGCACATTTTCAAGGCATTTCCTCCCTCCTCAGGCCAGTACATTCAGATTGTTATCCAGAAGTCATTTTCAAACAAAACATCTCAATTTGAAACATGGTTACTTTTGCTACTTTTCTCAAACCTTTTCTACTATAACTTGTGTCTGTGGTTTAAATCTTCATAAATGTGCTTTAAAGTCATTCAAATATCAGATTTTTACTGTAACATTCAGAGCATCCTAATAAGTTTAGAGTTTATAAAGAGTTTATAAGCACGTTTCACAACTTTTAGAGACCAGAGATTTGCCGTCACAGTAATGCTAACAACTGGCATGCTAACGAGCACTTCCTGACTATCCGACAAGAAAATACTTGGATGCAGACAGGAAACGACTGACAATATATCAGTTCTGGGGCAAGAAATAATATGGTGAAATGTATGGATGAATAAACGGGCACATCCTCTTAAATCCTGGGCCTAACTGTATTTTTTATCCCCAGATCATAAAGAAGCTGATTGAGAGGAAGCAGAGTCAGATCCGGAAGGTTTATCCTGGACTCACCTGCTTCAAAGAGGGAGTGAGGCAGATCCCAGTGGAGAGCATCCCAGGCATCAGTAAGTCCACGGAAGAGATACTAAAGGAAACTACTATAGAAAACTAAAAAAGACATAAAGGTACTCAGAGCTTGTTTTGTTTCTGCTCCAGGAGAATCGGGCTGGAAACCAAGCAGCAAAGACAAAGGGTATTTATTTTTTTATGTGTATTGAATTGGGTTAAATATTTAGTAACAACTTTCACAGTGTTGTACGGTATCTCACAACACAACAGAACAAGTGCACACTCTGATCTTACATTAACAAAGTGGCAAAACAAAGCAAACTACATTTTTCTTCTTGGGACATTATACTGAATGTGCATTAAGTTTTCGTAGAGATCTGCCAGTTGCTTGTCTCCATGGACATATTTTCCCTAGAATGTTACACAGTATGGCATTTAGACCAAGATCAGTGTGCTGTAACGGTAACTATGGTGATAACTCTTCTCTCACAACGACTCTGCAGATGTGGTTGTCTTTAAGCAGGTTTAATGACGCTTGAAAAGGTGAAATTGTGGAGCAGACAAACGTAACATTACAATATGTCTAGAACAATTACAAAAATACAAAGTAAACAACTGTAAGTACAAGGTTGTAAATCCACACACTGAAGGCTATCCGACGCTATTTTGAGAGCTGCGTGGTTCACGTGTAATTATCATATTACAACACTAGTATTAAAAACACCACAATGCCGGACGTACATGTAATTATGATGAAAGTTGTTGAACATAGGTAGAAATACGTACTGGTGATTCAACCTCAAGATAAAGAAAATTGCTGACACAAAGCCAACTGCGTGCTGCCATGTCTGATGTTTACAACCGTTACTACCGTTCAGTAAAGTTCGGTTCGGTACGTGCTCTTTGTGCAATTTCAAAAGTGTCCACTAGATGAGACCATACACAAGCGAAACTCAACAAATATAAAGACAGGTGAATTATACATTTAAACATTTTTAACAACTTTTTATGCGTAACAGAACACTCAGATTTATGGAGAAGCAATAAGAATGCAGGTGATTCAAGATATTTTTTAAGCAATAAAGACACCTGTAATTTAAGTGTAATGTAATATGAGTGCGTTTAATGCCATACCATGGGACACTGAAGGCAATGCAATAACATCTCCATGGAGAAAAGCAAGTAGCTCACCCGTCTCTATAAAAATACCATAGTGTACCTTTAAATGTACCTGTATGAAGTGGAACAAGAAGTATTTCTTTCCAAAATAAGTTCACTCTTTAGTGAAATTAATGTATTACTAATTGATTCTCTCAGAAAATTTTAACTTAAATTTATACATTTATATTTCATTGACTTGATCCTGATCATCTTGGTGTGACATCGTTGGTTCAGACAGAGGTGTGTTGTTGATGTTTGACCTTTGACCTGTTTATCATGTGTCCTGGTTTGTGCAGCAAAGAGGTGAAGGACCCAGACGTGTTGTACAACATGTTAAAGAACCTACTGGCCCAGATAAAGGTGAAAACATGTGCCTCATCTGAATAGAAAGATGCACAGATCCTTAAGTTGACCATAGAAAACTATTATTTATTTTATTATTTATTTATTTATTTTGTGTTACCAGACCCACCCTGATGCTTGGCCTTTCATGGAGCCAGTGAAGAAGTCAGAAGCTCCAGATTACTACGAGATCATTCGCTTTCCCATTGGTATGTTAAAAACAAAAGTAGTATAGCAAAATGTGGCAGTTTTGCCATCACAGTAATGTTAACAATCAACATGCTAACAGTGCAATTCCTGTTTTATAATTGGTTTCATACAGCCCACAGGAGTCTCATTCCTACCTTGAGAGCTGCCAATACACTGTCTGTACTGCTCAACAACATTAATGCAATAAGTCTGATCATTTTGTCTTTTTCATCAGACTTGAAGACGATGACTGAGCGCCTGAAGAACAGATACTACGTGACGAAAAAACTGTTCATCGCCGACTTGCAGCGCATCATCACAAACTGTCGCGAGTACAACCCCCCCGACAGCGAGTACTGCAAATGTGCCAATACTCTGGAGAAGTTCTTCTACTTCAAACTCAAAGACGGGGGCCTCATCGAGAAATGAGCTCCCCTTTAAACACAGACTGCACTCATGACGTCACAGTGGCCATTTTGAAACCACGGAGGAGACGCAAGAAGAAGCAATGCGCACTGCTCATTTTAAAGGATAGTAAAATGTAAAGGGAACAGTTTGGATAAAGTAGTTACACCAATAAGGAATAACATTAAGACCACTTACAGGTAAAGTTCATTAGACTGGTATCAAGAAGTAGGCGATAAATTATTTTTGCATTATGACAAAAAACTATTATTGAGTACATGGTTTATATTACAAAAAAAGTCTAAAAGTCAAAACTTACTATTTAACTTGTCAATTAACTTTGTCAATTAACTTTTTAGTATGTTTGTAGTGGACAAATTGGAACCTAGGTCACAGCATCTACAAAATTGCAGCTCTTGCCTGGTATTCCTGGTTTGGACCTGGTTTAGACTTGCTTTTAAATCTGGTTTGAGACCTGGTTTAAACTTGATTTGGAGCTGGTTTGGAGCTGGTTTAGACTTGCTTGAGACTTGCTTTAAATCTGGTTTAGACTTGGTTTAGACATGGTTTGGACTTGGTTTAAACCCAGTTTCGACTTGGTTTTGTCCTGCTCCAGACGTGCTCCTTCAAAATTGGATTAAAAAAGGAACTATTGAAGATGAATTCCTAAAAGTTAATCCCATAAAATATGCCCTTTGCATCACAATAAGACTGTATTGAGACTTTAGTAACCAAGTGGTCATAATGTTTTGCCTTTTTGGTGTGTTTTTAAAAAAAAAAAAAAAAAAAAAAAAGCCTTTGTTGCAGAAAGCTTTACCTTCCCCCGTCTTCACGTTTGCCAATCCACGTCTCATTAAATGTACCAAAGTTCTAGGTCCAAGTGAAACCGATGCAAGAGTTGGTTAACAGTAAAGTTCATTCCAGTTTAGTCTCTCACAAAATTATTAGAAAAAAAAATAGAGTAACTGCACCTCGGGACCTAAGCCATGTTGCCTTTGTTTCCGATCAACACTTGAACGTCACATACATTTATGTCTTGAATAATATTTGTACAGATATAAAAAAAAAAAAGAACCCCGAAAGACTGCGTCGTTTTCTGCTTAAAGGCGCTGTACCTGATTTTTACGGTCTTAAAAAACAGTTTACAGTGGTTCAAAGTTATTCCTCACTTACTTTTCGCATTCTGAGCATCCTCATTTTTCAGTGATAAGTTTACAAGCGCTTTTCATAACTTTCAGAGGCCAGTGCTTAGTTTTGCCTGTAATGCAAACAACTAGCATGCTAACAGTGCACTTCCAGATAATCGGACAATAAAAATTAGTTGCCTACAGTACAGAGCGGACTTATTTTTACCGAGAGCTGCTTATACCATATATTTGTACTAGCGAAAGACTTGTTTTTGATGAATCGGGTACAGGGCCTTTAATAATCTACATCTAATTTAAAAAGTCCCATTACTGACTCCTCCTTTCATTGTGTTTGATATTTATTTCCATCAGTCGTCGTCAGCTTATCAGTGAGATGAAGGATACATACACGTGTGAACTTTTTTGGTCTGTTGGAATTGGAAATCATACTTGAAAAACGTCCGTATCGTCACACAGCTCAGCCAATAACAATGTAGTAGCCCTAGTGTGTCAGCAGGGGTCAGTAGAGCAACAAAAGATAAGAGCCTGCGTTTGTCTCACAATGGGGAAATTGCAGTGTTGCAACAGCATAGTTCAAACAAGACAAAAAAAAGAAGAAAAATTGGACATCGAAAAGCATACATTACAACCAAATGTATTTACTGACTTTGAACAAGAGAAAATACTTCAAACGTTGCGCTCTTTTGTTGGAACAGTTTTGGACAGTTTGGATGCTTGTGGTTTAATATCTAAAGTACTGTCAATTCACCACTCCTTTGTAATTTTATTTTATATTTTAAGACTTGGAGCTTGTAAGTGAAAGGGTCTGTACCTGATTTTTAACTTTAAAGGGGCAATATTGAACTTTTCTGGTCCAGTTAGTACTTGTTTCCATGGAGATGTTTTTGCATTGCCTGAAATGTTCCGCAGCACGACATCAATCGTATCCATCTTGTGCTCAATTGCAGATGCTTATTTAGGTGTCTTAAAATACCTAGAAAAAAACATGCAAGGTCACCTCAGCACAGATCCGACCTGTAACCTTTCCTTGTGTTATCATCTACTTGTCCCCAATGGTTATAGATGTAATGCCATATTTTGGTAGCCAGGCTGGCGCCACCTAGTGCCTTCACTCAATTTCATTTCTCTCCAATCACTAGATCAGGAATCAGAATACACTAGATGGTTTGCAAGAACCCCGGAAGTGCGAATTCGGGCACCAGCCAATCAGTGAAGAGCCATATATTCTGTGTTGGCAACGATTCCCGAGATCGAGGATTTAAAGCCGGAACAAAGAGAATGTTTGGTGAATTTTAACAACGGGAAAGATGTTCTTGCTCTTCTTCATACGGGATTTGGGGAAAAAAGCTTAATATACCAGTTAGCCCCATTAGCGGCGCATTAGATACGTCATGACGAAATAGTAGCGATTGGTTAAATAAAAGAGTGCCCGCCTACCGTCAAGCGAACGAATCCTAACGCTGCGAGGTCAGATGGTTTCTACAAAGTGAAACTGGCTGATGAATCAGGCTAATACTTTGGGACATTCTGGGTAAAGCAATCACATCTCCATGGAAACAATTAAGAAGCAGAGCCTCCATCAGAAGAGTTAAATAGTGCTCCTTTACATGTGAACTGTAGCCCCGCCCACTTTCTCCCTTTGCAACTTTGCACCATGACACAAATACGGCTGTGTGGGATGGTTTTATTTACTTATTTCATCACAGTTCCTAATAATAGTTGTGTTTTCAGGCTTGAAAGTGCACCATCAACTGTCTGTGATGGTGTCAGGCATTTTGTTTCTGGAGATTCTTAGTTCCTGATTGGTTCAAAGTTTTTGATCCTGACAGTAGTCTTGTCCACGAGTTATTATCCATCAAAATGCCTTGTAAAATTCATAGGTTATATCTTTCAGTCTCCATTTTTTCCCCTCACTTTTCTGCATTTACAGTTCACCTCGTGACATAAAGGCCATTTATCTCAACCAGAAGAAAATAAAATCAGGTACAGGCCCTTTAACGAATCTGCCAAAATCTGTGTTCTTTGTCTTTGTTTTCCTTTCTGTGTTCATATCCGCATTCTAATTTGTTTTTTTGCCACATGTTATGACAACAGTTGAAGCTATAGGCACAGTTGGTGTTACAGTTTTATTCAAATGAACGAGTTTAAAGGTGCAGTACGTAACGTTTCTGGTGGACAAATCGTGATCAACCTGCTAGATTCCAAGCAGATGCAGATGCACGTTAAACTCTGCTGGCAAGCACATGGCAGAACCTCGACCAGAAAAGTTGCATAGTGCAGCTTTAATGTCATACAGCGTTGCTTTGGGTTTGGCCTGTGCATTAGTTTGCTTTTGTGTGTTACTTTTGATGTTTTACTTGAATCATTTTGATGGTAGCAGTTGACTCAACAGCACATTTGTAGCGTGGTAATGGAGCTCAACGGTCCCCCCCATTTCTCTGGTTCTGGAAGTAGATTTTCCATTCATTTTCCCCATAGAATTCCCATAAAAATCCAAATAATAAGAGTTCAAAAGCATCATTGGGCTACGTGTTAACTAATATTCATAATGCAGTCCAAAAATCGACATTAACCCAGGATTCTGTGAAATGTTTTAATAACTTTGCGGTTTGTAAAGTTTCATAAACAGATTTGAAATAATGGAAAGGTAACTAAGTGTAACTGTGTAACTTTTTTAGTGGAGGTCCATCACTTGCTCGAGTTTATAGAGAAGTTACTGCTTTGCCTGGATACATTTTCCATAGTATGCCTTTAAACTTTTTTTCAATTACAGGTGTTTTCATTGCTAAAGAAATCCCAGGAACGCATGCATTCTTACTGCGAGCGGGGACGCCTCTCCACAGATCTGACTTGTTTCTTCACCTAGTGGCTTTTCCTGCTCATCTGCTACATTTAATGCCATACTGTGTACATTTGAGGGCAAAGTAGTAACATCATAGGGACAAGTAAGTGGCCAAATCTCCACCAGAAAAGTTGCATCTTTAACTGATCCACCCTTAGTAAGTGATGACTGTAAATTACCAGGATTTTTTTTTTTTTTTAATTTTTGGTAATTTAAACGATAGAAAGACTGACAATGAGAACTGAAAAAAAAAAAAAAAAAGACAAAGTGTATAAAGAGGGGGTATTACGGATTAGCTTTCCACATTTATGTCTTGAATAATATCTGAGGAATATTTGTACAAATATTAACAAAATAACTCCAAAATAATTATTCACAGTGATGGTTTTACAAGCGCTTTTCACGACTTTCAGAGGCTAGAGCGTAGTTTCGTCTGTAATGCAAACAACTAGCATGCTAACAGTGCACTTCCAGCTGAAATGCTTCACAATTAAATGCATAAATCAGGTACAGGGCCTTTTAAAAATCAGAAAAGTTACACAGTGCTGGTGTAACGTCGTATAGCGTTGCTTTGGGTTTGGCCTGTGCTTTAGTTTGGATTTGTGTGTTAGCGTTCTAAGGATGCACCGATACCAATACTAGTTAACGAACATGAACACAGACACTGAAAAATTATCTGGATCGAGTATTGGTTCCATGATATCGGTTCAGTCGATATCCTGGTTGGGCGTTTAATTTGATATGACACTATTTACAGGCTTAGTACTTCTCATAATATTTGAACTTTAATTCATACAAAGTAGATTCTGTAGTGATTTGAAAGATAAATTAGTTACATAACACAATTTGATCTCTCATCTGGCGTAAATAACTGTGGTTTAAGTAAATAAAATCTGTACTGACTGATATTTAAAAGTCAAAGTATCGATATCAGAACTGAAACAGCTGGAAAATGCATTACTGTTTATAACATTGTTCCGTTGCCAAAACATGTCTGAAGAGGTTTTCGGTGTCAGAAAGCAAACATTTTAAAACTTACAAAACATAATATTTAATGTTTTCAGCAAATACTGCATTTTCAAGACACTTAAGGGTAACATGGTGATCTAAATATGTTATATGTTAGCAGTTAATACCGCATAAAAGTAAAATACCCCCTCTTTAACCATGCTCTATCTGTGCTGTTGAGTTCTACCACTGAGTTTGTATTGTCCTGCGCTGTAGCTACATTATATCGACAGGGTCTTATCCACCGATGCTGCGTTTCGATTACGGTCAGTAAGAGTGACTCACAAATACACATGCATATTAAACCTGTATTAAGTTACAGTATCACTTTCTCTATAACTGTTCATCACAATAAAGGTGTGTTTTTGTATTATGTTTCTACATGTGGGTGCTTTCCGTAAAAGGAAATTGAAAACCTGATTTTTGTTTTTGTTTCGTGAAAAAGAAAACACAGGTTACATATTGTGCAGTTTGAGTTTTGATTCTCGAGTGTGAAGTAGTGGGGCCCATCGAAGGGGTTTCGTAAAGGACGATGGGCTTGGAACTTAAAGGGCCACGCTGTTTTCTAATCTGCGTTATAACGTTTCCTCATCACAAACATACCTGGAGTTGTTTTTTGTTTCAGTCACATGTTTAACGCACAAACCCTGAATATTTAGGCTGAGCTCTTCTCTCAAACAGAATACACTTTGTTCAACCTTGTAATATCATGTGGCAATACAGGAAGTGCTCCACTGTCTTTTAAACTCTTCACTAGAATAATTTGGATAATTTCAGCCCTAGAATCTCTACTAAACAAAAGGTCGAATGTAGCTGTTACCTTAAACTACCGCTTCATGACATCAGAAACAAAACTCAAGGTGGAATAGAGCATTTTGAGTTTTTAAACAGAAAATTACTGGAAAATGTAAAAGTGGGCAAGGTACAAACCCAAGGCACACTGATAGAATATATTCTATCTATAATTTCTTTATTTCATGAAGGGACGCCAACGCATTTCAACCAGCAAGATGACGAAGACCATTTCATTTTCCGTTTAAAGACTACTGTTTTAACCCTCGTAGAGCACTTGGACTGCTAATTTTTATTTTTTTATGACCCAGTGAAGCGCTGTACCTCTTTTTTTCTTTATCTGACGTATCAGAGCATTTTGAGCTTAGGAGATGTTAACAGATTAATGACTAATGATTAAGGATTGTTGAAACAAAACAACTCCAGGCATGTTTTTGAAGAGGTAACAGCCTTCTAACATGTCTTAAAGCTCACAAGAGTCCATTTTTGCACAATATAGGGTGTTTAAAGCATTCATTTGTTGCTTAAGTTTAATGTTCACATCAAGATTAATATTGCTCTAATCTATATTTCTGACAACTTTTTAAGAAAATACCACTCCAATACAATGTGGACGGATTGATTGAGAAACAAAACCTGCTCTACATCTCCATTTTAAACTACACAACATTTTGAGTGGTTAAACTGTAATTCTGAAAAATAGTTATTTCAAAATGTACTGTAAAAGTATAAATGAGTACACAGTTTGGCAGTATACAGTTTATTTTTTCTGGTGGAGCCCCATCAAATGCTTTTATCTATGGCGATGTTATTGTTTTGTCTGGAATGTTTCACAGTATGGAGACCAAAACAGACCAAGTTACAGGTCAGATCAGTGGAGAGGTGACCCCAGTTACAGTCAGAATGCCTGTTTTTCTAGGTATTTTTGAGCTATAAGACCACCTGTGTTTGAATAAATGTAAGGTAGAGCTGTTTAATGTCATACTGTGGAACATTCCAGGCTGAGCGATGGCGTATCCATAGAAACAAGCAGGTGACGGACCCTCAACCAAGAAGTTACACCGTGCACTTTTAACTATGCTCTGAATACTGCTCCTTTCCTGCTTGTCTCCCTTGCGTGTGCTGTGCTTTTGCTTGTCACTTCAGATTGTGCACTCCTGTCGTCCCTCACAGTCCCACCTCCTCCACTGGGGCCCCTCCTTGTCACAGTTGAGGCGTGTACTTTCGTTTTCCCAAAAGCGAGCCTTCATGATTCAGCTGATCGTATAAAACCTGCCCCCTGACTCTGGGACAGGCAGAAGAGGGAAAGTCGTGGTCTTTTTCGCTTCAGACAGCTATCGAAACAAGGTGAGCGAGCAAATGTTGTGTTATTTTGGACTTTGTTACCCTAATGTGGGTGTAATTTAGATCTTATCTCCAAGCAGGAAATTATAGAGGTTTTTCTTTTTTTGCTAGGTTGGATTGAGTGCTACTTTGTATACTAGTACAGATATCTGCTAGTAAAGAGACTATTTACTATTAATTACTGTTAAGAAATTCAAAAAACGTAAAGTGTCTTGCCAAAGGACACAATGGAAGGTGGTGCTTGTGGGCAAATGCGCTTCAGCAAAACGCACTCTTATGACACTGAAAAAAAATAATAATAAATAAAAATAGGAGAATGGGTTAGCTATATTTTATTTCTATATAAAACGTCTGAAAGTGTAAATATAAGAAGCATTGGCTATAATTGGGACTTTTTATTTTATGTATTTATTTTGTGCAGGTAAAGATTTACATTCTTATACAATGGAACATATAACATAAGTGAAATCATAATAGAAATGACAATAACCACACAAAAAAAAAAAAGTTTTTGCCCAAAAAAGAGTGGGAAGAAAGTTTATTTAATCCCACCCCCACTCTTCTAATCTAACACAATGAGCTATCTATTGCATTTTTCAGACATTTTTAATTAAACTCTATAAACTATTTACAAGTGCAGACAAAGTTTGACTGTTATAACGTGGTAGTATAACATCAGCATACCAACAATGGTAAAGTTAAGGACACAGACTTGTGATTATAGTCGTAATTTACTTTTAACTTTGTATACCAGTATAAATATAGCAAAGTTACATTAATATTAAGAACACACTGGATACAAGGTGAAATAATAATTAAACACAAATAGGAGAATGGGTGAGCTATATTTCTTCTGTATATAAAACATGTAAAAGCACATATATATGTTGTAATGATTTAGATTTAACTTAACATTGTGTACTAGTATAAATATAGTAAAGTGACATTCATATAGAAGAAGAAACTGGACGCATGGGGAGTAAGGTGTCTTGCCAAAGGACACAATGGTAGATAATGGTAGCTGGGATAGAAATGTCAAGTTTGTTTGTGGGCAAATGCTCAACAGCAAAACAGTTTTTCTTATTATGACATTGCAAAATAAATAAATTAAAAGAGTATATGTGTATAGTGCTTTTCTATATAAAATCATGATATAAAATTTTAAATGTATATACTATAAGTAATTACAAGTCTCCCAGATACAATCTATGCTACAGTCTTAATTAGTTTTAATTTATGTATGAATTACACATTACATACTAGTATAAGTACAGTGAAGCTTTAATGCTATTAAGAAGACACTGGATGCAAGGTGGGTAAGGTGTCTTGCCAAAGAACACAATAGTAGGTAATGGTAGCTGGGATAGAACTGTCAACCTTGATGTTTGTGGGCAAAAACATTTTTATTTGACACTACAAAAATTATGAGAATGGATTAACTATTATTATACTATTAACTTCAAAAAGAAATCTCAAAGTGTACTTTAGTAGTTCTGGTTGCAATTGGGACACTTGTGTTTTAAAGTCTTAATTTGGTTTTAATGTATAAATGCCACTATGTATACTGATATAGGTGTAGTAAAGATATATTACTATTAAGAACACACTGGATGCAAGGTGAGTAAAGTGTCTTGCCAAAGGATAGAATGGTAAGTAATGGTAGCTGGGATAGAACTGTCAGCCTTTGTGTTTGTGGGCAAAAACACCCTGAGCTTCTGACAATGGTTTTTAAGACATATTCTCATTATGACACTGCAAAAAAGAAAAAAAAAATATATATATATAAATGTAAAAAATAATACATTTCAGTATAAGAAACATAAGTTGCATCTCTTCACAATCTTTAAGGAGTGTGTAAGTGGCTTTGGTTGTAATTGTAGATTTGCTTTTGTGAGTTAGACAGATTATGCTGCACTGAATTGTAATATAATAATACTACTACTAAATAATTCTGTTGAGCAGACAGTGGAAGGTGGGGCGTCACAAAGTGGGGGGTGTGATGACACAGCAGTATGCAACAGAAGCTGGAGTAGAATCATCAACCTTATTGTTGCAATTGAGACACTCTGAGCTTCCTGCAGCTGGACTTAAGACATATAATGCTCCAAAAGTAAATGATAATAAAACATTTGTATATAAAAATGTTTGTTTAATCATAATATTAAAGTGTTAGTAGCTTTCAGTGTTATCATAATACACAATTCTACAACTCTATTTTGATATTAAACTGAATAGTATTACTCAATTCTGATTTCGATACCACAATGATAATAAAAAAGACTTGCTCTTATAATATGATATTTTCAACTTTAAATCATAGTACTTTCTTTTATATTACCACCTGGTCTTACTGATATGTCTATATATGTTTTTGAATTCCTTATTTTGGTTTTGTCCTGGTGCAATTCTGTTTTGTATTCACAAGACAAATATGTGTGGTACCTTTATATGTGAATTAACCTATTTTAAAGGGTATATACTACACGGAACTGAATCTTGTGAGCTTTAAGCCCTTTTCTAATGTAGTGTCCTCCTCAAAAACATACCTGGAATTGTGTTTTGTTTAATTCACACACTATTAGTTATTTGTCTGTCTACATCTCTAAAGCTCAAAATGGTCTGTTCCAAATTGTGAAGTCTTTGTGTGCTGCATTTGTGTGTTAAACATGTGCGAAAGAAACAAAACACAACTCCAGGTATGTTTGTGAAGAGGAAACATAACATAAATCGGAAAATAGCGTAATATGGGCCCTTTAAGCATAGTTTTATTTTATTTTTATTTTTTTTTTTAGAATGGAGGACCTGCAGTTGTACTCGTACCAGGAGGAGGTGGCGCAGAGGGCTCTTCTTGGAGAAAACATCATTATTTGGTTACCGACGGGAGGAGGAAAAACCAGGGCAGCGGTGTATGTGGCCAAAAGACACCTGGAGACAAAACCCAGGGCCAAGGTGGTCGTACTCGTCAACATGGTGAGAATATTTAACAATATAACACAATTATTTTTGGCTTATACACTATAACGTAGGTAGTAGTGGTAGGTGGTGACAGTTAGTAGTTAGTAGTAGTAGTGCCATAGAATACTGGCACTATTTATTTATTTTTAGTATTATTAGTTTGCATAATGACCCTACCGTACCAACACAAGTAGGAACAGCAAGAATAGTATTAGTAGTAGTTTAATACGTTCTTTTAGCATCTGTATTTCTCTATACTTGTACTTCTCCCCACCTCGCCTGTACTATAATAATAATAATAATAATGTGTGTATATGTGTTGTAGGTTCACCTGGTGGACCAGCACTACAAGAATGAGTTCTCCAAGTACCTGGAGCCTGTGTACCAGGTGCTGCCGGTCACTGGGGACTCGGAGGAGAAGGACTTTTTTGGTAAAGTTTTCCGTACGGCTGATGTGGTGGTCTGCACGGCTCAGATCCTCTACAACGCCATGATCAACGAAGAGGAGGACAGACACGTGGAGCTGTCAGGTGAGTGGGAGGAAGTGGGGGGATGAAGTCAATGTTCATTTACCAATACTTTTATTACTTCTATATGTACTGCTGTTACTACTGCTAGTGGCAGGACTGGGCCTCGTCAGTACTTGGGTGGGAGATTCAAGTAGTGGCAGGACCAGGTGCCATAGTGGAGCGCCAGTGGCAAAAACTGTTGTTGTGTCCTTAGGCAAGACACTTCACCAACATTGGCAATGTGGAGTTGAATGTGGTGTGTGTGTGTGAGTGTTGGTGGTCGCAGGGGCAGTAGGTGCAGATTGGCGGCCTCACTTCTGTCACTCTGGCCCAGGGCAGCTGTGGTTTGAACAAACAGTATTACTGTCTGGCTACTGCTTAGTGGGACTAAACACAAACAAGTTTAGCCTGGTGGACTAAAGGGGAGAATGAGGAGGAGGAGGAGGAGGAGGCGGCAGTTTCTGTTTGCCCTAGCAGCATTGAAGTTCTACTATAGAGTAAGAAATCTTTCAGAAATATTTGTGTGCATAGGATAGAAATCTATTTGTGCGTATTTGGCTGTAGTTGAACATAAAATAAATATTTGTAAAGTCTCAAATGAGTCCAGTCGTACATAAATGTACTGTGTGTATTTTATCCATCAGAATACCAACTGAAGAATTACAGTTCAAGAATTATGATCACGAAATGAAAAGTTACGATTACGCTTTCTTGAGTACAAACCCGAATTCACAGAAGTGACTCGACTGTCAAAAATACATCATCACGTCACAGGCTTTATTTATTGAGCAGAAGAAACATCGATTGAGATTCTGGACTTTTGCACTGCATACGGAACCAGAACCGAACCCGGACAGGACAGTAAAGTCACATCTGTGAATTCGTATTCATTTCAGTTCATATTCTGATGGATAAAATACACACAACATGCTCAACTACAGCCAAATATACACTGATTTCTCAAATATACATGGTTTTCTATCCTATGCACACAAATATTTCTGAAAGCTTTCTTACTCCATTTTCTACTATTTTTATTACTTTCCCTAAACTTGGACTAACACAGTGGATTATTGAAGATGATTATTTGTTAAATGAAGTACTGCCCATTCCAAAATACAGGAGTTGTGTGAAGGATAGTAAAAAAGGATTTCATTTGCATATAAGATATTTACATACCAATATGCAAAACGTAGAGAAGTGATGACAAACCAAGGAGTTTAAGTCTCAAACTAGACAGAGAACACATGCTTTATTAAGGCTAATTATGTGTAGTAATTATGAAGTGTTACTGAAAGTAGATTTTGTTCAATTTGTAATTGTAGACATCACACTGCTGATCATTGACGAGTGCCACCACACCCACAAGGACACAGTGTACAGTAAGATCATGCGCTGTTACGTGGAGAAGAAGCTGAAGAACCAGGGTCCTCTGCCTCAGGTCCTGGGCCTCACTGCGTCTCCAGGAACCGGAGGCAAGAAGGTCCTGGAGGGCGCGGTGGAGCACGTCCTCACGGTCAGATTTCTACTGTTTATATTTGAAATCACTAAATGTTAGGAGTGGAGTAGTGGCAGAGTGGTTAGCAGAAATGTGCCTGAAAATATGGTTCAAATACAAATATCTCTGCTCGAAAAATTACACTGCAAGTTTATTCATTATTCTATTTTATTATAATTTGTTGCTGCTTTTTGAGTTAGTTTTCATAAAGGTTCATGTAACTTTTCTGGTTGAGGCTCTGGCAACCTGCTTAGTCTCCATGGAGATGCTTAGAATATTCCACAGTATTGCATTAATCTTATCTAACTCCAAGATGGTGCCACCTGCAGGTCAGATTTGGATAGACAACCCTGCTCATGTTTTACAAGCAATAAAGTAAATACAAAATAGAAATGTTTAATGCCAGTCTGTGTAACATTCCAAACAAAGGATGAAAGCAGAAAGTAGTGTACTCTCCCACAGAAAAGTTACGCAATGCACCTTTAATCTAAACCACTGTTTTAGTCCCGATGTAATTCTGGTCTAGTTTTAGTTAAGTTGAGGTGGCGATCGTGCAAATGTTTATTATATTTTCTTATTCATGATGTATCCCTCACCTCTGTGCATAATAATAATTTTGTTTTGTACATTGCCATGGTATCCGTTCTGAAAATATCTGTGTTTTCTCTTTTAGATCTGTGCTAACATGGATTCAGCGATTGTCTCAACTCAGAACTACCGCCAAGATCTGCAGAAGAAAGTGCCCCGGCCGCGCAAAGAGTATGACATAACAGAAAGGAAACCAATGGTACAACTTCTGTCATTTATTAATCTCAAATAGTTTCCAATCTAAATACAGTTAGTCAGTTCTGCTTTTTTACGTGATTGGTTGTATGATCATAGACCTGCCGCAGTAATTCTTGTATTGTGTAATGAATGACAGCTGGAACGATATTTTTATTTTATTCTCATGTATCTTGTTTGCATTGTTGAGGAACTTTTTGTAAGAGAAGATTTTAGCTGTAGAGGGTTGAATTAGTAACATCTATGACTCATTGTAGATTGCCTACTAAATAATGTATTGATGGTTTGCTGTGACATCATGCTGGGGGTGTTCTCCATGTATGTTTATGGTGGAATGTTCAACAGTTACCATGGCAACACAATGCACACATTAGCAAAAAGGTTTTAAGATGGTCTGAAAACTCAAGAAAAAAATACAGAATGGATTTAAAGCAGCACATTTTCAGGAGCCTGTGATCAATCTGAACGTTCATGGTCCTGTTTAGGAGTTTGATTTTCAGCAAAAATGTGAGAATGACCATATTTTTTGAACTGTAAGTTGCACCAGCCAAAAAATGCAGAATGAAGAAGAAAAAAACATAAGTCTCACCAGACTATAAGTCACACTTTTTGGGGCAAATTTATTTTATAAAATCACGAGCCAACATTTCATCTTGAAAAGCAAGTTATAGTAATAACAATAGAACAGAGAACAACAGACTGTTAACCTCACATGTGAACAGTTCTTCAGATAAACTATAACATAAACAACAGAACAGAACAAGTTTATCAAACACTCCATCTCACTCCAAATCATTGAATTCTTCATCCTCGGTGTCACTTCTGAGAAATTTCGTGACCTCCGGAGGTAAACGGAACGCCCCTCTTCCTCTTCTGTGTAGCTGTTGTCAAACTCAGCATCAGTTCCAGTTAGAATTATTCTGGCCTTTCTGAATCCCAACAGGATGGTTTCGATTGTCATGGAAGTAAAATAAATGTATACAGACAGGACAGACTCTTTCTGCAAGAGACATGCGCAGTAGAGCCATGTGACAGTGGGTACAGAAGTAAAAGAAGTAGCGGATACTGGCACACAAGCCTAGAGCGCCCCCTCGAAGTCAAAGGACCATCCAAACCATGAAAAAAGTGTGACTTATAGTCCGAAAAATATGGTAACTGAAAACCTGTTGGCTGATACTAGCGAGCTTGTGACTGTAATGTTATTTGAGAGGGACTTTTTAACAGCACAAATCATCTCACCTGTTGTAGTTTCAACTATCTTAAATCAGGTTTTTGTGTTAAAACGAAGCTCAGATTAAAGTCTTGAGTAACAGAGCTTCAGACAGAGCAAAGCCTTCAGTTAGCATCATATCCCCTGGGAATGTTTATGACGTCAGCTACAAAGTATCAACAGTGTGTGTAACTGTCTGTCTGCTTCGCCCAGGACCCTTTTGGAGATCACATAAAGTGGATGATGCTTCAGATCCATGAGTATATGAACCTGCCCCGGGACGTCAAGCTGAGGGAGTGCGGGACACAGGAGTATGAACAAGATGTGGTCCTTCTCGAACAAAGAGGTGAGAACATATCCAAAATTTGTCTCGCCCCAGTCCAGATGTATTGCATAAGCAGATTATGTCTATATCAGATAAATAAAGCATTCATCTATCTATCTAAAGTGTTTAAATTGTCCGATAATCAGGAAGTGTATGGTTAACATGCTAGATGACTATGCACAGGGCTCTGAGAGTTGTAAAAGGATCTTATAAACTCATTGTGGTGAATAATTTAGGCTGTTCGGATTGTGTAAGGTACATGAGGAGTAATTTTGGACCACTGGAAACTGTTTAAATTTAAGTAGTTCTGCTTTGCACATTTTTTTATACAGAAAAAAAATCAGGTACAGCGCCTTAATTTTATGAATAATTTGGCAGAGATAGGGGTAGGTGAAAACGGCTCTGAGTGCAGGATAATACAGGATTACTCAGAAGTACATGAATCAACTTTAAAAGCTTCTTCAGTTGATTTTACAGAATATGCCCCCGTTAATATAATTTCAGGCGTGAGCGAGAGCAACCGTGTGATCGCCCAGTGTGCCCTGCATCTGAGAGAGTACAACGACGCTCTGCTCATCAGCGACACTCTGAGGATGATCGACGCCTACAACTCCCTCAAAAGTTTCTATAACAACAGGCCCACCATGGACGCCACGGACATGTTTTTGGTCGGACTGTTTGAAGGTAAATGATCCATCATACTTAAAGGTGAACTATATAACTTTTCTAGTGGAAGGTCTACCAACTACTTGTCTCTTTAGAGGGGTTATAACTGGAATGTCCCACAGTCTGGCATTAAGCATAGCATTTATTTCTTTACAGGCGCTTATTGCTCCAAAACCTGTATTGTTATTGTGGAATTCTTGCCTCTTCTTCACAGACTTGATGTGTAACTTGGCCTGGTGGCGTCACCTGTTTGTCTCTGCTGAAATAGATACATTTAATGCCATATTGTGGAACTTTTCAGGCAAAGCTATCACATCTCCATGGAGACCTTCCACCAGAAAAGTTACAAATTGAACCGATTTTATTCCTTGCACAGAACAAAATACAGTATCTCAGTCTGTATGTCAGTACAGATATACTGTATAAGCAGCTCTTGAGTTCCAGTAAGGCTGCTGGGCACTACCTACATCTAATTACAAAACTTTGTATTATCAGAAAATCAGGAAGTGTGTGGTTAGCATGCTAATTGTTAATAGCTTATCGTAATGGCAAAACTCCATTCTGGTTATGTAAATCCCTCATAAAGGTGAGGAATAACTTAGAACCACTGTAAACCAGTTCTATATTTTGTGTTTAAAAAAAAAAAAAGATCTTGAGCAGTGCCTCTAGCTTCAGCCTCCTGGGGAATGTTGATGTAAAATATGAATATTTGCTTTCCGCAGAGAATGAGGTGGAGCTGAAGCTCCTGGCCCAAGATCTCAGCTGTGAGAATCCAAAAATGGGCAAACTGGAGAGCACTCTTCTGAACCAGTTTGGGGCGGATAAGAAGTCGAAAGGGATTCTCTTCACAAAGACCAGAAAAAGTGTCCACTGTCTGTATGACTGGATTATGGGGAATGAAGTCCTGCAGAGAGCGGGCATCAAAGCAGCTCCACTGATCGGAGCTGGGAACGGCATCAGTCACATGACACAGGTACTGCCTCTTTACAGTAAAGGTGCACTATGTAACTTCCCAAGTGGGGGTCCACTACAATGGGAGTATTATTGTTGATATTGTTTTACCTAGAATGTTCCACAGTATGGCGTTAAATATATGTAAAGTGCATTTATTTGATTATGTTATGTGTTCGCAGTATAAACCCATAGGAGGAAACTTCGAATTTGAATTGAATAATAATTTAATATTTGTTTTGCAGAATGCACAAAAAGACACCATCCGTGAATTCCGTGGTAACAGGCTCAACCTCCTCATCTCCACCACCGTCGCAGAAGAAGGCCTCGATATCCCAGAATGCAATGTGGTGGTGCGCTACGGGCTGCTGACCAATGACATCGCCCAGCTGCAGGCGAGTGGGCGGGCCCGGGCTCAGGACAGCGTGTACTCCGTGGTGGCTCAGAGAGGGGGGCGGGAACTACGAAGAGAAATGATCAACGAACACCTGGAGGAACTGACCAAGAAGGCCGTGGCCAAAGTGCAGGAGATGGATGAACGCCAGTTCAGAGATAAAGTAAGAACACCATTTGAAAGTGTATTGTGTATCTTGTGAAGGGTCCGTCAGATGCTTTTCTCCATGGAGATGTTACTGCTTTGTCTGGAATGTTTCACTGTAAACCTTTTTATCTTCATGGAGACCAAACCAAACCAAGTTACAAGTCTCAACTCAAAATGTCTGTTTTTCTAGGTATTTTTGAGCTATAAAACCACTTGTAATTTCATAAATGTAAGGCAGGCAGAATTATTGCATATTCATAGAAACAAGTAGGTGAGTAGATTAGTCCTCAGCCTAATTATGCAGGGTTTGTGTGTTAAACATGTGTGAATGAAACAAAACTCCGGGTATGTTTGTGATGAGGAAACAACTTTATAACATAGATGAGAAAATAGTGCCCTTAATGATTTAATAAAAAATACCCACTGTAACGTGTAATTGTTTTTGCAGATATTCCAACTACAAAGGGAGGAGTTGCTCCGTCAGAGATTGGCCGAACAGAAGAACTTTGCAAAGAGGAACCGCTTCTCTGCTTCTGAGGTGCAGCTGATCTGCCGTAGCTGTCTGAAAACTGTGGCCCAAGGGAGCGACCTCAGACTGGTGGAGGGGGCCCACTACGTCAACATCAACCCAGAGTTCAAGTAAGATCACACTTAAAGATAGTATTTTAAGTGCACATGTCAGCTTTTCAGGTTTTTCTAATTATTAGTTGTTGTCAGTTGTAACTCATCTGGTGGGATTTGTAGTGAATATACAGTAAAGGCTCTCATAGTCTTACAGCTGTTAAGAGTCTTAACAAAACTGTGAGCTTTAAGCTACGTTATAATGTTGTTACCTCCTCAAAAACACACCTTGAGTTGTGGTTTGTTTCATTCACACTTGTTTGAGTAATGCTTCATTCTTAATCTTACATGTTCAAAGCTCAAAATGCTCTGTTCCACCTCGTGATGTCATGAAGCGGTAGTTTTCAAGGTAACAGCTACCTTTTACCTTCAGTTTTTGATGAGGAAACAACATAACAGATAAAAAAAAATAGAATAATATGGTTCCTTTAAAGTGTATATGACAGGTTTTCTTTTTTTCCCAGAGTTTTTTCTTTGATTGGTGGTATCTGTGTTTAATATTTATTATAGTTTTACATTACAGTTAGAGTTAAGTGGAGTTTGCGGAAAAGAATTTGAGAAGAAAAATGTAGTTTTAAATGAAAAGCCTCTGCCTATGTTATGAACACAAAATTCCATCCAAAATACAGGGACAGTTTATGTGCAAGGATGACTTTTTCTGGTAGTTTAAAGCTTCATTTGATAATGGTTGTGTAATTTAAGGCAAGATTTTTATGAAAATCAATCTTAAATATGTTAAATTTAAGGAAAAAGAAGTCTGAAAGGAGACCACTCTGTCATATGCACTTTCAATATTACAACATGCTACATGTGCTTTTTTCTCTTTATAGAAGAGAGTACAAAGTGGGAGGACAGATAGTTTTACCAAGAGAATTCGAAGACTGGGAGCCTGGCTGTAAAATTATCTGCAACAATGGCAACTGCAACAAGGTACTGCTGGCTATAGTATTAATAATAATAAAACATTAAACATTATTCAATAAATAATAACAATAACACAAATTATAAGTAATAATATTAATTAATAATAATAATAATAAATAATACCTACCTTTTATAAAGAACTTTTCAAGACACCCAAAGTGCTTCACAGTAACACACAGGCACACATATACATACAAAAAATGAATTATTAAACAGAAAAATTTTGAGAAGTGATTTGATCAGTGGGTTCATCAGTTTTTGTGTGGAGTAGAGGCCTGCACACAGACAACTTTAGGCTCACTGTTTTAGCTTTTAAAATTAAGGCACAATGAGTTTTTAAGAGCGTTTCACAACTGTGAATGTGTCTGTTTAAGGACTGGGGGTTTGAGATGAAGTACAAGAAGTTTGCCATTTTGGGAACCCTGAAGATCTCCAGCTTCGCTCTCCGGACTCCTGTGGAACAGAAGACAGTGAAGAAGTGGAAGGATGTGCCATTTCCTGTGGGTGACTTTGACTTCAGCACATACTGCCAGGAGCATTACCCCGAAATGCTCGACTGAAGGAGTACTGGCTCCAAAAATTGGTTAAGTAATTTTAGTGTGCATGTAACTGCAGCCAACGATCATGCAGCTTTTTTTTAAACGGTTTTAAGTATCTATAAGAACAATTTAGAATTTCCAGAGAACATGTACAAGAAAATATGAGTTTGTAGTGACTTTACAATTCCACTATATAATACCACTTCTTTATCATCAAAAAAAACAACAACAGCCATTTGAAAAGCTGGGCAGAGGCTTATGAACTTTGTAACTGCATTGTTTACAAAGACTTGTTGATGAAATTAAATTTATTTAACTTTAGATTTAATACTTATGTAATTACAACATTGCAGTTTACTACAGATTTGATTGTGTGAACAGTTAGCTTTGTTTACAAATGAATGAGACTCTGTAGTTATAGATTTTCACCGTAAACTTGGTCAAGAAAACTTATATTATTATACATATTCCTCCAAAAATATTGTTACATGATGTGAGTCAACCGAGTACTACAAAAACTCTACCGCACACGTCACTTTAGCTGACATAACTCACTGACATAACGCCTTTGACAGGTGGAAATGCTCATTTTACTAAAACACAATTAAAAGGTGCACTGTGTAACTTTTCTGATCTCTCACCTGCTTCTCTCCGTGGAGATGTTACCTGCAATCTTCCAAAGTATCTCTATGGAGACAGCGGGTGACAACACAGGGTCAAGTTACATGTCAGATCTATGGAGAGGCGAGCCCACTCACAGTAAGAATGGACGTTTTTAGGTCAATAACAAAACATCTTATTGCGTAAATGCAAGATGGATACTTTTAATGCCATATCGGGACATTCCAGACAAAGCAACAACATCTTCATAGGGTAACCAGGTGGTGGATCCTCTAGACCTTACACTTATAAAGTTCCACAGTGCACCTTTAAGATTATTATATTTTATTTACAAAACATTTCCCTTTTTTTTCCCCAGTTTGGCATTTTTTATTTATGGTTCAAATTTTACTTCCTGGTTGAAAATTATGACATTATGATGCTAGGAAATTACGTAACTGTTACCAAGCAACCATGTGTCACTCTGGGCCAAAACTCCTCTAATGTATGTGGAAATTATTATTTGACAAATAAAAATAATAAAATATTATTATTAATAATAATAAAACACCTTTATTTTGTTGAAATTATGTTTAAAGGTGCACTATGTAACTTTATGGGTGGAGGGTCTCCTTAAACTTCACTATCTCCATGGAAACAAGCAGGAGATGTCACCAGACCAAGATGTACTGGCCACATCTGTGGAAAGGCTGGCCGGCAGACCAGTGGTGGAGTTAGCAATTTGGGAGCCGTAGGCGAATTTGAGTTTGGGGCCCTCTTAATGCACTGTTATTTTTTAGTTTAGTTTAGTTTAGTTTTAAAAAAAAATAATTTATATATATATATATATATATATATATATATATATATATATATATTATATATATATTAGTATAATTATTTTATATACATATTAATATATTATTATATATATATATTATATATATATTATTATATATATAATTAAATCTATTTATATATTACTATTATATATTATTAATTCTATATCCTAATATATATATAGCACTCTCTACTGTAGGTGTGCATTGAGCAATAAAAACACCATAACTGAAAATGGCAGATGGAAAAGTTTAATGCCACACTCTGAAACATTCCAGACTTAGTACTACCATCTCCATGAAGACAATCAGGTGGCGGACCCTCTACCCGAAATGTTACATGCATGCATAAAGTATCTGATAAATTATTATTATATATATGAGTATTATATATATTAATTAATAACTATATTTATATATATAATTTATTTATTATATTATAATATATATTTATATATATATATATTACCAATAGAAATGAGAGAATCGTCAAAACCTGTCATATGCACTTACCGTCAATAAATTACTGTTAAAGATGCGACATAACCACTATCTAAACTTGTATGCACTTGCACTTTCTGACAATGGGAAAACTGCAAATGGAAACTTTTAGTATATGAAATTAGCATTGCTTTAAGAAACTGTGCGAGGTACCACGAGCAGGTTATTGTTTACATTTAAAAGGTCCGTATTACGCTATTTTCAATCTTCAATCTTACAATGTTGTTTCCTCATCAAAAACGTACCTGGAGTTGTATTTTGTTTCATTCACATGTTAAACGCACAAGTCCTGCATATTTGAGTTCTTCTCTCAAACTGAAAACACTCTGTTCCACCTTGTGATGTCATGTTGTAACACAGGAAGTGCTCCACTGTGGTTTTAAACTCTATACACCTTCACTAGAATCATTTAGATCATTTCAGACCTGGTGTCGTTGATCTCTACTTAACTAAAGGTCGAAGGGTAACTTGAAAACTACCTCTTCATGACATCACAAGGTGGAACAGAACATTTTGAGCTTCGGGGTTGCAGACAGCCCAATAATGCAGGATGACTCAAACATGTGTGAATGAAACAAAACACAAACCTGGGTATGTTTTCGATGAGTAAACAACATTATAACATGGCTTAAATCTTATAAGAATCAATTTTGTATAATATAGGACCTTTTAAAGTGAAACATAACCATCTGAATGTTGTCTGAAATCTTTAATGAATTTAAATGTAAAATCCACACATCTTTTGTACTGTTTTTTTGCATCGATTTCAAATTCTGTATTTGTCTATCTTAAAACAGGTTTGAATAAATATATTATATACATTTTAAATATTTCATGTCATGTGCTTTTTGACCACTAGGTGTCAGTGCTCTTTAACAATTAATTTCCCGTAGAGACAGTTGCAAACTGCTCCGTCTGAATAAAAAGTGTGTGCTAAGAAAAATGCTAAAAATGTTCCGCTGTCTTCTGAGGCGACGCCGTTCACAGTAAGAACGTTTTTTAAAGGTATTTCTTTAGCAATAAGACATCTGTAATTGAATAAAAGCAACATATGTATTGTTTTTAGAATGTTTCACAGTACAGTCTATTTCCAATTACTAGAATATCATAAAAAAGTTCAGTATTTTTTCATTTTAGAAAGTAAAATCTGTGTATTATAGACTCATTATCAGGTGCGTCGACAAAAATTTGGGGGCCCGGGGCAAGGAGCATCACATGGGCCCCCCTCTAATATAAATTAATAGGAATAACATCCAATTCCGGGACCTTAAGACCCTATTTCTTGACATTTTAATGATTATGTCTTACAGATAATGAAAAATGTCTCTGAAAATGTAAATATTACAGAAGATCATTAAACAAGGATATTTTTAACATGTTCATTTCTATGCACTATACTCAGGTGTAATGAAAGTCCAGGTTGCTTTTTTATCGCCCTTCGTGTCATTTAAAGTGTGGCGTTTTGTTTATCTATTATATAACATTTTTATTGAATTATTTGTCATTTAGAATAAAAAACAGTAGGCGTATTCATCCCAATTACCATCACAATACGAAATTAAATGCCATGCGTGAAGAAAGAGACGTCCTTTGTTGCTGTAACAATAGAGAAATAACATTGTTCTGTAGCCAGTTTCCAGACGTCTTTGTCAAATTCGTCTTTTTAAATCCAAGACAGAGCGATTTCGCAGAGTCCCAAGAAACGATTTTTGACTTTTTGACTGTTCAATTAATCTCTTTATGCCAGATTCATTCGGCCTTCGAAAAAGACAAGCGTGAGTTTGTCTTCTTCTTATCTCCTCGTTTTTAACATGTGCTGGAAAACAAATGGACCAAAGGCAAAATGAGTGACAGACATTCTTTATAATACCAACCAACTTTGACATAGTAATTTTTATATTAACTCTTTCCCCCTTGGACACCTACTAGGAACAACCCATACATATATGACTAGGGCTCCCCATAGAGTATAACTAGATAAAAGAAAACAGACTTCCATAAGTGATTATAAATGATTTTTACACTCATGAACTTTACTGAAACACAGACAGATTTGGTATCTCTGGAAACCTTAGACTCTGAACTCTTCATTAATGGATGTTTAAATGTTTTAATTCAACTCATTTACAGGTTTATAACAGCTACTGAAAATGAGAGTTTACCTGTAAAATCGAAAACAATTTTGGTCCATAATCGAGTATAAAGTCCCCGAAAGTTTGTTCGTATATCACATTACTCCATGCATACGAATCACCGGCAAGTTTCACTCTCTGAAAGTCCATCACTATCGCTCTTTTCCACTGAATAATCAACTTCATCATTACTTTCAAATCCACAAAAGTCAGAACCACTTTCGCCAAAGTTATCCATAAAATACGCCCGCTCCTCATTATTTCTAAAACTGCGCACTGCCGTCTTTCCATTGCTCGTGTTTTGTGTTGTGTTTTTCCGGGAGCTACAATCGTCACTACTTCAATTAACTTCAGAAACAATCAGCAAAAACATATCCTGGAAAACTATTGGTCATTCTAGTGTGGGTTGTAGTGGCCCCCACCTATCACAGCCTTTTTTTTACATGTGAAAAACAGGAACCGTTTCTAATGGTCGTCAAATCATGTCTTTAGTGATACAGAGGAGGTGTCAAAACACGTCATTAAGGAAACAAGGGGGGTCGTCAAATGTATTCTTCATGAGGGAAAGGGTTAACATTAGTGTCTCTGTACACTGGTGTATATAAATGTGTGTGTGTGAATGGGTATGTGAGGTTACTGGATATAAAAGAGCTATAAAACAAATATGGCCATTTACTAAAACTGAAATTGTCACCCTAATTAAATATTTTATTACATACTATCTTGTTTTATATGACTAGCCCTATTTTTATATTAGAGCCCTATTCTGTTTTATGGTACGTTGATACTTTCCGCTTTTGGATGCCCTCCTCTTTTCTCTCTCTTTTTGCACTTTGTTTTTATAGACTTGCAAAAGTATTGTCAGAAAATATGAAGATGATGCCTCTAAACACTATTGTGAGTGGGATTCAGGGACTTCACGCTGGGGCTGGTTTGTCTGTTCTTTGATGAAATAATTTACTGCAAACATCCAATATTAACATCAGATGTCCATTCAATAGTGTGAAGATGAGCTCTGAGATTACACACATCAGACGTAAGATTATGACCACGGACACGTTCCAGAGCTGTTAATCATGTTAGAGTCATTTCCTCTTCTCTATTAAACTCTCAAAGTTGTATAAGGAGTGATTCGTGCATGTTTGATTGCTTATTTTCAAGATGCCATATTGCCAATTAATCCCTGTGTTCACCGCCACCATCATAGGCCCACTGCTCAGTACTTACTTCTTTCTCCAATTTGATTTTCTTAATAAATGATACCCAGAGGATTCCGCAAACAATCTGCTACTAGGGTAATGTGTAGCTATCCATCGGAGCTGCAGACTCTTTGTGATGATTTACAGCAATGTCAGCTCCCATCGGGTACCATCGGCAGACTAGTTTCTTTTATTAAGTTGCTTTAGATGAATATTGTGATTTCAAATGTCCAAATTATAACCACAGGTATTGTAGGGTATTACTATAGAGCAGGGATAAACACAATATGTGTTCTTTCACACTAGTACGTAACACCAAAATTAGGACTAAATTGAGACTAAACCTGGAATTAGACCATATAATAGGATTCAGATCTGAAATACAGGGATAGGAGTTTTTTATGCAGAATAAAACAGGATATTTTGTTGGCTGTGGAGGAAATGATGGTGTTTGAGATTTGTTAATGGTGTTCAATTTTGATTAATTTTTCACTAACTCTTTGTAGTCTTCACTGTGCAGCCTTCCTCTCTAACACCTCCTCTGTTGTGTCCCACCAGGGAGCTGTCCATTCAGTCAGAGTGAGCTGTTTGGGAGCAGAGACCGTATATATGAGTGGACATAGATAACGTGCTATCTGCTGCGTGCCAAATAAGAAGGGGCCAGGAGGCTCTTCCGGTTCCTTCTGACCATGGATGTATTGAAATAACTGGACAGGGTATTGCTGCTTGTAGCTGCCTCCCATGGATGTAGTGGTCACTCACTGGTACTTCATCTGAAACAATCCCCTGGACTGAGACAGGGGATTGCGGACTTGACAGGACTGACGATCGGAGCCACTCAGTTTACTTTGGGACTGAGATAATGGTTAATGGATATAATGGGAAATGCTCTACTTAAATATTGATTGGAGTTTTAAAAATTGTTCTTTGAAAAATAAGCTCTTATCTGTTACAGACACTTGTAATTTGGCACAAGTCGTAACAAAACCAACTAGAGTCTTTTTACAAAGATGACAGGACAAAAACTGCCACATGTATTGATTTAATATTTACAAATTAATCTGATTTATGCTCTAAGGCAATTTCAGCTGGTGTTGGGTTTAGTGATTATAATTTAACTGTAATTAACCGAAATA